CTTACAAACGTAATTAAAACAAGAACTGCGGTTTAAATTAATGTTGCGTCATGTGTATCAGTAATGTCAACAACTTAGTGAAAAGTGAAAATTTTCATCAATGCTGTTATTGGTTCATCACAGGCAGCTGCTAAATTTGTAAACCAATAACCAGAACACCTTTGTTTCATGATAAAAGTATCAGGAGCCTCGCTCCTAAATTTGCCACTTCTGAGCGATAACAGTCTTGAAACTCAAACAATATTCGTGGTATGTCTGAGATATCAATATAGAACCTCCGTTGTCTTTTGATCAACTATGGAGTTTAGCGTGCTATTTACGTTTTTAACTTGGACTGTAGTGATGACTTATTTGACGTTTGGTATCGGTGAGTTGCAAACTGCGAAACATTTTTAATTTTCAAAGTCATCCTCCATGCGTGCAATTTCAAACGTACGCTTAGTTTTCTCGTTTCCCTGTTCCAGTCATAACTGTTCATAACTGTCTGTCCAGGTACCTGTGGGAACCAATTTAGGCAATGATTCATATTTCTGACGTCCAACCAAAACGAAAAACCCGAATTCAACATCAATGACTAGAGAATGATGACAACATTTCTTGGGTAGAAATTAAAGGGGAAATGAACGAAAGGGTATTTTTATCGAATGCCATTTAGAAAATCAATAAATTGGTCATGAAAGAAAGTAAATAATTCCGGATGCAAAGGAGAACTTCTACTTTTCTCCAAGTTTATTCAGGAAAAGTATTTTCTAATTGCGAAAGCATTGGGTGGGGCATGGATTCCGAAGGTCTGAGGTTCAGTTCCACAAGGGAACTCAGACACTCGTGACAAGGTAAAAAGATATCTTTAGTACATATTTAAACAGTGGACAGTGTTGAAGGCGTGATCTAATATTCACCTCCGAGTAACTCACGCGGGATTTGCGCCCGAAAAAAGTTGTAATCGTTGCAGGAATAAATGAGTTCATGTGAGTTTAAATCATCTTTGCGATGCGCTTTATCATCTGGCTTCGAGGCTCGGTACATATCTACCACTAGCCACCTCCGCTTCGGTGAAAAGTTTTTAATTATTATTGAATTGTTTTATTTTAGAGAGAGATCGCAAGATGTCTTTTCCTGATTACTACTTCTTTGCTGAAAGACGTTTGGTAAATCATACGATTGCAACAAAATACGTCAAGAACTTTGATGACTGCGAGCTTTTGTGCTACTTGAACGACAGCTGTGTCAGTGCTAACTTCAAAAAGGATCCAGAGAATGGTGGAATAGCTTATGCCTGTGAACTGAATAACGCCACTCATCTGGAGCACGAGGTGGACCTGATAACTGACATCGTTTTCCATTACCGTGGGTCGAAGGTGGGTTACAACTTAATTAGTTAGTGCAATAGTCGTCTCGGAATGAATAATAGGGAGCCTAAAGCCTAGTTCAAACGTCGATCTTTACATGTACCGAACCTAACGTTTCTATTAAGTACATGTAAAGATCGACGTTTGAATCAATTAGGATCGGCAGATTTGTATTCGGATCGACAGTGCCGTTCTATCCGACTCGGCTAGTCGGATAGAACGGTAAAAGATCGGCATTGATTCATACGTCGTACTTTACATGTACCGAACTTAATGCATACATTATACATACGTTAAAGTCATGTTTTACCCACAATTCAAGAAAGTTCGGTAATGCGCCCATTCAAACAATATGGCGGGAAAGGAGGAAGGCTTCTTGTTTTAAAACCACAAAATATACTTGATTAAAAGGAACTGTGATGTTCCTTTGGGAAATAAGCAATAATAGAAGGCAAGCCAAATTCAAAACTCGTCTTCTCCTGGCAGCAAGGTTGTTTAATGCTAACTGCATCTTGAGTCGCCTTTTTCTACCCTCCTTAATCGCATTTGCAAGAAAAACAAGCTCTTCATTTCCACAAGTTGTGCTTCCCGCATTTTTTTCCGCCATTTTGGTAGGCATTAACCGCTGACTATGTTCAGTTTTGCAATTAGGATCGACTAAATTCGGATCGACGTTTGAATCAACTGCCGCTGTTCGGTACATGTAAAGATCGAAACAACAGGAATGCTTTTACACAAAAAGGTATAATGAGTTTAACAATGGCTGCGCACACGCGTTCAAAATTTTTGTAAATTTCTTTCGTCATCTACAAAACAGCAACCTAAAATGACCAAACTTTGGGTTGTGTCCTCGTGTACCGGTACACAAAGGAACGAAACATTAACGAACTGCGTCACAACTCCATGTATGGATGTGAAAACAATAGGAATTCCCCCGTGTACCGGTACACCAGGACAGCCCCAAACTTTGCGTTGAAAAGAGAACGTGAGCGACGACGGGGATTTTTTTAAAATTTCTATTTATAATTTAACGCTGTAGACTATATTCAGTTTCGAGATAATTTTAAAAGTGAGAAACCAACTGAATGACTTTGGAGCATCGCGAGATTCGTCGGTAAAATTTAAATATAAGGTCATTTTTTAACCAAAAATGGCTGCATCTGTTTACCGTCTCATACGGCGCCACACCTCAACTTTAGCATAATGTATAAAAGAAGCGTTAAGTTCCAGATGGAAATTAAAATAATTTGCCGTCGCGGTTCCGGTTCGCAGACGACGCAAATTGTGGTGATTTCACGCTGTTGTTTTGCATAGGACGGCTAAGAAATATACAAAAGTTTTAAAACGCACGTGCTGAGCTATTTTTCTGCCAATTAGATCCTTTGTTTTTCCATGTCATCGTTGCCGTCACCGTCGGGGTTTGCTTAAGGTCCCTAATAGGGAGTGTAAGGAAACCTCGAGGACAACAGTAACAGGAACGTCTCTACACAAAAAGGTTAAACGAGTTGAACAATGGCTGTACACACTCGCTTAAATCTTTGTAAATTTCTTTTTGTCTTCTGCGAAACAACAACTCGAAATGGACAAACTTTGCGTTGAATGGATAACGTGAGCGACAACGGGGAATTTTTTAAAATTTCTATTTATAATTTAACGCTGTGGTCTATATTCAGTTGCGAGATAATTTTAAAAGCGAGAAACCAACTGAATGACTTTCGAGCATCGCAAGATTCGTAGGTAAAATATAAAATATAAGGTCATTTTTTAACCAACGTTGTCCAAAGCGTCACCGTCGTCATTTCTTTAGGGAACTTAAGCAAACCACGACGGCGACGGCAACGAGGACATGGAAAAACAAAAGATCTAATTGGCAGAACAATGGCTCACATGGAAAAACAAAAAAACAACAACGAAATCTAATTTGCGTCGAACAATGGCTCACCATTTGTAACGCTTTTTAAAACTTTGTTGACAGGTCTTCCGGTAAACAAATACAGCTATTTTTGAAATTCTATGCAAAACAACAGGGGTCCCTTTTAACTCCCTAATTATCTTTAGCACTCTGAGTGGCAACGCAGAGGATGACGTCAATGAAAAAAATTTACATTTTTAGTCAGAATTCCGCCAATGGCTGAATGTATTTGTCATCTCTTACGGCGCCACACCTCAACTTTAGCATCACGTTGTAAACAAATTTGACTTCCAAATGGAAACTTACATAATTCGCCGTCGGGGTTTACGTTTTCAGAGCAGGCAAATTTTGGTGAGTTCACGTTGTTGTTTTGCAGAGGACGGCTAAGAAATGTACCAAGTTTTAAAACGCTCCTTCTGAGCTATTATTCTACTCATTAGATCTTTTGTTTTGCCACGTCCTCGTTACCGGGGTTTGCTGAAGGTTCTTTTACAAACAAACTCTTGTTTTTCTTTGTTTCGTTATTTCCCTTTCTCTTTCGTTAACATTTCTTACTTTTAAAAATCTTTCTTTTCTGATTCAGAACGCCTGCAGCAAAAATCAACTCTGCCAAAATAACGCAGCTTGTCAGTCTGGTTACACAATTAAGGGATATCGATGCTCGTGCCCTCCTGGATTCGAGGGCGAATATTGCGAAAAAGGTACGTTTTAGATTTCCGCACAAATGTCGCTCTGATATTCATGCTAGCACAACGCTACTACCCGTGGGTTGATTAACAGAGCGTTTGATTGTTTAACGTGTGTCTCGTTTAGTTTGACGTCTATACTGTACTCCTTCGAGTTTTTGCAAGGGGGGGGGAGGAGAGGGGGTCAGTTATATTTCATTCCATACGTTTTATCTCAACGTCTCTTTAAGGAGAGGCTTGAACTTGCATTTAATTCATCTGAAAGGTCTAAATGAAGAAACACAAGAAAATATTAACGTTACAAATACGAGGATCGAGAAAAGTGTATGGTATTTGCTGAAGCAGTATGCATTGTCGGTGGAAATCGTGAAACTGAAAAAAGGTTCCTCTCCGCATTCCCTCTGTTTTCTTACTCGTTATTTGTCTAATTTCATGTTTATTTCGATCACCTTTTTAGATATCGACGAATGCAAAACAAATTCTCACGATTGCAACGCAAATGCCTACTGCAATAACACAAAGGGATCGTATCACTGCTTCTGCAAACCTGGATACATCGGAAATGGACGGAGTTGTAAAGGTAAAGTCGAGACCTTCTGAGACCTCTGGGTTCTCATATGCAAGGCCTAGATACAGAAATCCTACAAAATGGCCCAAAAAACTGTTCGAAAATCGTTTATGTTCTAAAAACCCCGTTTGACCCTGAAAACCTAACAAAATCCGGATTTTTGTATCAAGCCCTATCATAGGCAGCAACTGAAAGGATACTTATCATTTTATTTATCTACCTTTTCATTTATTTGTCTCTTTCATCATTGATTATTTGTTTTTTTTTTCTGATTGCTTCTTTTCGAGCCAGTTACAACACTGAAAGTCGTTTACTTCTTTTAGATCAGAGCGTTTGTTTCTATTCAGTGTTCAGTATTGTAAAATCAAAACAAAAGCAATATCAACAGCCAATCGTAGCAAGGGAAGTATCATGAGGAAACAATGAGAACTCGAGGCAAAAATAAGGAATCTGCCTGAAGTGTGGGAAACGCGAGTGACCAAGTTGTGATTGGTTTTAGTGTTGAATCTGATTGTTCGAGAAAGTGGGGCGAACTTTCTGGACCAATCAAAGCGCGAAGTAAAGCAAGAACAAATAATTTTTGGAGAGAGCTATACTTTTAATACTATTTGCTCATGATGATGGTCCACCACTATAAACTTTTACAACGGTTTCCTTTTGTTTCTCCCGTTCAGTTGATCCATGTCAACTCCACACAGTTCTAAATGACGAGGATCGAGACATAGAAAACGATGAACACGATAAATGTGACAGCCAACTAAACGTTGGCTGGTATCGTTTCCTAAACAAGTCAGGAATACAAATGCCGACTACGTGTCCACCGACTGATTCAAGATGTGGTACAGCATGGCCAGGTTGGTTAGGAGGAGTTCATCCGACGGTGGAGGACGGAATAGTAACGAGGGCTGTCTACTTTCGAAGACGTACTGACTGTAAAGAACTAACTGTACACGACATTGAAGTGAAGAACTGTTCTTCCTTCTTTGTTTACCTTTTGAGACCAACCAGTAAATGTACGTATCGTTACTGTTACTCCTCTAAGTAACCATTTCATCCCTAAGAGTAACTAGCATGTAATTTATCCTTACAATATCAGCCCTGAATCAGGCATTAAGGTCAGGAGAATGAAGGAAATGATCAACAACTAAAGAAGCTTTAATTTAGATGGCAAAATCCATTAGCAAGTACCTCAAGAATGTATAGAGAACAGAATGGAGACTATACACACTGATGTTGAGGTGTAAGCAAAACTGTAAAGACAACTGATCAAAAGCTGGTTTTCAGTAATTGTTTACGTTTTTTGTCAAAGGGATCAAAGAATGGTGTGCCCTTGTAAAACTGCAAAGATAAAAATATAAATAAAACGCTAAGGTAGCAGTATATAAAAAATTTAGTTGTAAAAACTTACAAGGTGGTTCGAAAACGTCATTATTTATCAATTATGTAAAATTCGTTCACCTAAGTGGCAAGACTTTTCGTAGATGTAATAAATTTAAAAGGATTGAATGAATCACTTTTACGGGTATATTTGCAGTTTTGGCCATGATCGGCCGTGTTAGATTTTGATAACTCGAACCCATAATTTCTCAGTTTTTCAGTTTTCTTTTTCAATTCTTATTCTTGTTTTACCATGTTCCTTTCTTATTAATACATTGCTTCAGTCTGTTGGAACCCTAATCAGTCAATTTAGCCAATTTTACATTGAACTTAATTACGTTGGTAGACTCATGATAACGGAGCTGCAGCACTCACAGAATCCTTGCAGGGTATCCATACTTAAGAGAATACGGTCGGGTCCATAACGATTTTAACGCCAGCAAAAAATTAATCAGCCGGAGCTCCGCTTTCCATCTTGGCTTAATCTTCGTTTAAACTGAAAAATACAAGCCTGAAAATAAGCTTCCTCTTGCTAGTTTGTAAAACGGAGATTCGGATAGTTTTGCTTGGTTATAGAAATTATTTCCAGTATAAAAGATCCTATTGTAGCTCACTTTCGGTGAACACGATGATTAATTTTCTAGTGTTGTGTCATGACCTAAATGTTAGAATTAATATATAGTATTCCTTTTAGCTGACAACAGTTAACGATAGCGATGATAAAAAAATAATCAGAATTTACAAAGCACAAATTACATGAATGTATGATCAAACGCACTTCACAGAAAATAAAAATTCTTGTTGATGATGACAGCTAATTAAAATTAATATCAAGTTAAAATTAATAAATAAGTAACAAAATTTAATAATTCCCTTGAGAGGATAAAATTACTACTAAGGCAACAAACTTAGAGTTCGCCTGAAAAGGTCAGTCTTGAGATTACGCTGAAAAATAGATATGGTGTCCAAGCCACTGATGTTACTTGGAAGACTATTCCAAAGGTATGGGGTTGCAAAGGAGAAGACCCTTGTTCTGAGTGTAGGAAACATCTTACAATTTGGGACCAACAGTAGAAGTTTCCGATCAGACTTTAGTTCGTATTTGGTAGAAATCTTAAAACAAATAAACTTACAAATATAATCAGGTGCTTTATCATGTCTTACTCTGAAGTATTGTAAAAGAATCCTGAATTTCATACGGTACGTACTTAACTGACAGCCAGTGTAGCTGGAAAAATATTGGTGTTTTCAAATTCTAAAGAGAGAGTTTCCTCGTCTGACACTAAAGGCCTGAGGGTGATTCTTGCAGGTGAACCAGCTTGTTGTCCTCTATGATTCCTGCATGTCAACAGTTCTCCCCAAAATATTCACATTTCTCTTCCCTATGAACGTACGCTTATTTTGTTTTGAAAAACAATAGAAATGAGGTATTGACTTATACGGCATTATATTTTGTACCCGTTAAACGGTTAAATTTGCTTAGTAAACAGTTTTTTTAATTTTCCCATGATCGGAGATTTTTTTTCAGCCCACACAAGAGGTGTAATGACACTCGCTAAAATCAAGGCCAACTGCGCGCTTTGCAGCAACCGATCTGATCTCCCTCAATTGCCTTCTTCCGGGTTGATGCTGCGGCAAGAACACTCCAGCCACAGACTTTCGTATGCGAGTTAAAACAACCCTTCTCAACCAAGGTAAGAGCACTCCACTGATTAAACCTTCAAAACGGATTTAGTAAGTCGACCAGGGCTGTGACTTTCACTTCAGCACACAGTAAATCGCATCCTCTCTAACGCTGTAAATATTCTCTCCAAAATCCTTCCTACGCCGCCAATTTAAAAGCATGAAGATTGACAAAACAGAATTGCATTAATGAGCGCAAAGAGCACTAAAAACACAGCCGACCCCACTCCCTTGAACAGTCAATTACCAATGCTACAAAAAATTCAAAATAACTTTATTTGAAATGACGTTCGATTGGGCAATTAAAAATAAATACAGCGTGATTCTATTAATTCAAAAAAGTTTTCTAAAAGTTCTAACACCAACCACTTGTAAACTGGGTCCAATCGAATTTACCTTGTACTAATTGTGCTTGAATAAACAAGATTCTAATTGCGCATTTTTTCTTAACTCTTGAACTTTCAAATCATTTCCATGTGAGTTAGTTTGTTGTCTTTACTACTACATAACATTAGCACCCTCTGAGTCAAAAGTTGAATTTCTCCTTACAATATCAATACAACATCAAGCAGGTAGGTGATGAGAATAACGAAAAATATTAATAACAGGATTATTAGATGATCCAATACCAAATCCTCTGAACTAACATCATAAGAATCATATGGCAGATAGTAAGGAGAATTACCAATGAGATCTTGGGAGTGAAAGGGTTAAGGGTTAAAATTTCGTGTATGTAACAAGGCTGAGTGAATAATTATGAAGAAAAGTTAAACGCCGATCAATTCGAAGCTTCTAATTTCCCCCTCCCCCCTCAGGCAACTTAGTCGTCCGTGCTCGGGCGTGGGTAACTTAAGCCCTGTCTAGGTGGGGTAGGAAATTTGAACCGGAAGTGTCAAGTATTCCAGTGGAATAAACGTGTTTTATCGTATAATATGCATGTATTCTGGGGTAAAGAGTTCACTTTCGCAAGCCTATGGCTAAGAAGAAAACTTATTCTAGGTCTAGGTTTGAATAATAAGACCAATTGCTTATCAATGACCAGAAAGTCACAGTCGCCGATCTTGCTTTTCACAAAAAAAAATTGACCATCAAAGCCGGGACTTGGGTTGGGTATTTGAGCACAATTTTGGCCTTGGGGGACGGGAATTTAAACGAACCACTTTCCAACTGTTCAAATGCCCAGTAGGGAAGGCGGGGGGATGTTGAAACTTCAAATTGATCGACGCATGATCGACGCATTAATCTTAAAATCAATTATGAATTGGACTGCAAGTTATTGTGTGCTTCAAGAATTATAGTCTTCATTCGGACGCCAAAGTAATACGCAGTTAGGGAGCTCCCAACAAAACCTGCAGCACTTTTTTTTATCTTACACATTAACAGGCCTTCCCTTTCAGTTATCACTTCTAACATTGGTCACAATAAAGCCGAAGTAATATAAAATATCAAAATCCTGGGCTAAAAAAAATCATAGAACTATTTCCTCATGCATCGCAATCGCTAGCGAATGATCACTGCCTTAAATAGAAAAATATTGTTAAATCAATTCTATCATAATATTTTCCAACCAGTTAATATCGATTGGCCAACCATGAGAGGAGCGACCCTCGGCCAATTCTCGTCAAGAAACACGATTGTTTTCGGATCCCCGAGCAATCGCCGAATACGATCTCGTTCTTGGAATCAAAAGTAGACTGAGAGACGTTTCACGAGATTTCTAACGAAATAAAAAAATTTTCTACGACATTAAGCTGCAACAATGATACGAATCGGCTCGTGCAACATCGCCTTTTGCAAAACTAATTGAAAAGATCCTAAACAAAACATTTTCAATAAAATTTCTTCTATGCTATCAATTTTCAATCAGCCCTCGTTCAAAAGATGTGGTTCAGGCTAAACTTAGTACACCTCATATTCTGTTTGTCACTTGCCACAGACCTACTGATCTATTTTTCAAAAGTTAAGAACTAATTTAATTTTCAGCTACAAAGTTTCCGGAATGAGCAGCCACAAGAAATCATGTCTTAATTGGAAATGTTTCTTCTTAGGAATTAGTTACCTTGGGCAATCCCACCAAAGTGAATCTCTACATGCTCATCCAAACATGAATTTTTTCATGTACTTCACTTCGCTTCTGTGATCTAGCAGTAAATAGAGCTTCTTCTCAGTCCCCAATCGTTTATGTAACGATGCAGGTAAATACGCTTGCCACATCGACGGTTCACCAAATAGTTTGAATCACGAAGTACCTACTTTCGTCCGCTCTCGTCTTCTACTTAGTTGATGACAAGAGCGTAAGCTGATTCCCTTCTCTCCTGCCTAGCTTGCCTTATCCCATCAGATTTAGTGAAGTCCACCTCAGCGTACGCACTTCTGACGGGAGCAGACTTTGGCCCTGGCGACCCGCGCTGACACGAGCTTAAGTCTATGTTCGGAGGTCGTCGGCGCTGACGACTTGGAGACTCAGAAGAGTTGTCGGGATTGCTTAAGTCGAGCATGACGTAATTAAGCTGCTTAATTTCCTCATCTTCTTGAGTTGTGTCTAGTGGTGCGATAGTCACAAACTTTGGCGTCTGTATTCTGGCTGGTTCACTGTCTCTTCTGTAAGAACGAGGCGATTTTCTCCATCTTTGTCCTTCAACTTGAATCTTTCCAGGAGAAAACTCGTCATACTCTTGGGCCTTAACTAGGCCGGTGTCCGGATCGTCATTGACTGAGAAAACGTCATTTATGCTACTTTCGCAGATATCCCCTGGAACAAAGTTTACGTACTCGGGCACATCTACTGCGCTTTTGCTTTTTGTAATACCGCTGAGATCAATGTTTTCGTAAGCGCGAGGTTTGTCCAATAAGACAGACTCCAGGCTATGCTTCTTAAAACTGTTGTTCGAGTTCTTGTCATCAGTGATCTTTCCGGGACTAAAGTTAACGTAACTGTGCATATCTTCATACGAAGATGAATCACCTGAGTTGTTGAGACGTTTTAGTGAAGTCGGAATTTCTAGATATTTCCCCCTGTTTGAAAATTCTTCCCCAGGGGTAAAGTTTACGTAATAACCGTTCGAGTCCTCTTTGCGTTGTCTCACATCGGGGTTCGGAGACCGCGACCTCGGAGAGTTCATCCCGGGCGAAAAATTTACATAACTAGGAGTTCCGCCTGATTCTACAGCGAGGGGACACATCGAAACATAATCCTGGCTTGATCTTCTGCGGGAAGAGGATGGAGACATTTTGATGGCAACGAATTCACGAATGTCTGGTTTGTTTGGCAACGCACTTTCTGTGGTTCTCAGCTGCCTGGGAGACGACGATTTGGACTGCTGTACAAACCCAGCCCGCGGACTCGAGCTTTGACTCTTCGCAGTACCGTTTTGTTTGTCACTGTGTTGTTTTCTTAGTGACGTCATGTCCATGTAGCCCCCATCAGGGGCTGTGTGTGTTGTTTTTTTGTTCAGCTGTTCATCGTCGACGATCTTAAATGCTTTCACAGCCTTCGACTTGGTTGCCTCCATATCCATGTAGGGATCACTATTTTTGCGCTAAAAAAAAAATTACATAATGGTGACCATTATTACTCTCTCCTCCCTCACTACTCTGCTAAAGTTTAAGATTACCCTCCCCTCCCCCCTTCCCTCCCCCTCCCCTCCCCCCCCCCTCCCCCCCCCCCCCCCCCCGCCCCCCCCCCCCCCTCCCCCCCCCCCCCCCCCCCCCCCCCCCCTCCCCCCCCCCCCCCCCCCTCCCCTCCCCAATTATCACCAGCAATCATCTCGTCTATGTTCTATTGTGAGTTGTCAGCCACGAATGCAAGATAAAGGAAGGACATACCCAGGTGAAGTACTACAGTGACAAGCTTACTTATTTTTTTAGGCGAAAAAAAAAAAATCAGCCGACCGATAAACACGTTTAGACAGGCTACCTTCGTTCCCACCTGCATTTTTTTCGCACACAGAGAACATAAAGATCCCTCTTGGGTCAGCTCATAGACTTCTTTCCGTCTAAAACCTCGGCCGTACAATTCACACCTTTTCGACCGAAACAGACCCACCCTCCACTCCCTGGCGCTGGCTTGGTGAGAAAGACGATCAAAAGAAAACTTGAGACAGCAAAGAGTCTAAGCAAAAGAATTTGATACTTACGCCTCCAGTTACCCCATTCATCGCCATGTAATCCTGCATGCTCGATGTTTCTCCTACATTTTTCGATCCAAGATTCATGTACTCTGTTTAAAAAGGAATCACCATTTGTAACATATTTAAACAAGAAAAATATCTGAGTATTTTAAAAAAAGACAAATCACTGTCGATACTAAATCATCCAGCCTCCCATTCCCCGTTCAGAGGCCAGCGGTCCACCCCTTAGTCCATTTTTTTTTTAACAAGTGTTATCTCCAAGCCAAAAAAAAAGTTTTAGAGTTATGGTCGCAACTGAATTTGTCAACAGCTTAAGTGCCGATGAAAAGTAAAAGTAAAAAACAACAAAACTGCTTAGAGCACGAGAAAAACGCAATCGATCAAGTCGTGATTGGTTGAGAAAGTGGCACGAGTTTCCTGAACCAATCACAGAGCGAAGAAAAGCAAAACCAGGCCCTTAATTCCATGTTTTTCCCCTCTTACCCGGTTGGTCATCTTTCTGTTCTAGTGGTTTTGACGGGGGGCGCATCAATACTTTGTCACTGAAGTCTGAATTTTTTTCTTCTTGGTTCTTGACTTGACTTTCCGAGCTCATATTCAAACCTAAGAAAAAACTAAACATTAAACCTTCTTGCAGATTTTGGTGGGGACTCAATGGAGTTTCCCAGAACTATGTAATCATGTAATGAAGGATTCCCATAGCGACATATCCATTAGCTCCTGGCGCTTTACAATAGTTTGCGGGGAACTTTGGCCAGACTGCATGGATTAGTTTACTATTACAAGTCTTCAAGGTCATGCGCATCATATCCGGGGCTCTAGGGTCAAGAATGACTACATAATAAAAAGATAAATCCAAATCAACTTGCAGATCGCAATATCCTTAAACTGTACTCAACTTATAGGCTCTCACACAGGAATGGCATTCAAGGAATGGGCATTCAACCCTCGACCCACCCCACCGTTAAGCTGAGCGTTAAACCCTCGAACCACCCCACCCTTAAACTATCATTGCCTAACTCTTTCTTCTCCAACATCAGTTGGTATATTCTCCACACTGTTCTCTACATGTTTTTTTAAAGTGCTGAGAAGGAGAATTTGTTTAACAATTAAGAGCTTATTTAGTTGCTGATCGTTTCCTTTATTCTTGTAACCTTAATGTGTGATTCAGGGGTGATAATGTAATGAGAATTTAGTTGCTGATCGTTTCCTTTATTCTTGTAACCTTAATGTGTGATTCAGGGCTGATAATGTAAGGAGAATTGTGATTTTAGTCACTCTTTGGGGTTAAATGGTTAAAAAAAGCTGTTCATCGTTCAACCAGGTGCTTGGAACCCTATAAAAAACAGAAAACCCCAAGAAGGACAGAACTTCAAACTTTTGAATTTAACGCTTCGATGCTTCAGTTTTCTCCTTAGTCCTAAGCTCGTGACACAACGGATGTGTTCTAGACACACGGATGTGTTTTAGAAATTCCGTTTGAACCTGTGCAAACCTGTTACACAATATACCAAAAATCTAAATTTGTGAAAGGGTGCCAATTTGAAGCTACAGTTCTAAAACACATTTGACGACGGGCATAATCAAGCACCTAGTAAAGGTAGAAGAGTCAACTCCTTCCCCAAAATTACGGGAAATTAGGAGTAAAGTTATATTCACTCATATTCAGTGACATAATAATTTGAATAGCCGGCGAGCAGCCCCTCGTTGTTACCAGCGGTGCAGTACTCGTTTCTCCGCTCGTGGGAGGATTTGAAATGAGTCTGGCACTAGTACTAGACTCTTTGCAGGCCTATAGTCAGGCAAAGAAAAGTTCGTGCCAAAGTGCTGATAACAAGTGCCTGCTCGCGGGCTCAGTGATAAAAGACGCAAGTACCTTCCTTTGACCTTCTCCGCGGCCGCAAGCGATTCAACACAGATGACGTTTTGTTCTTGGGACTTTCAAACTCTGTTAAGTTCCGAGTTGAAACTGAGGAGCTCACAGTACGAACCAACGGATTCTGAGAAGTTGGCTCAGTGTCTGAACGACCACGACTGGGTGGATACATGAGAGCTGACACTGGACGAGGTCGAGACTTTCCTCGTTTTCCTTCACTATCACAACGTCGCCTAGGAGCCGGTGGAAGATCAGATGAGGAGATGTTGTGCATGGCGCTGTTAATAGTTAAAAGATACAGGATTAGTGAAATATGACAAGAACTAAGATTAATCATATAGACTACATGTAGCCGTACCCTCCCCCGCAATGTGAAACGGAACAGAAGGAAAGTCTACGAAAACCTGACACTAATCGTGTTCTGTGACGTCACTCTAATCTATGGAAAATTATGTAACTGGATAAGTTTTTTTTGTGAGGCTTCACCTTGGGACGGGGGGAGCACGGCTGCGCGTATGCTACTTATTATACATTAGACTTCCTATGAAAAATCTTATTGGTTGAGAGCACTCAATCAGTATACAATAGCGTTGAACTCAACATGATAAATGCACTCTCTGCAGTGGATATTGTCGGAAAAGTGACGTCAGCCGTGTAACCTCGCAACGCAAAACCAAGGGTGGTCTTTAGAATTGTGGTTTTGAAAAAAGATATAGGCTAAGATCGACGCGATACGAAGCGTGTGACGACTAGAATAAAGATAGGAAAAGAAAACTACGCGAGTGACTAGTGTTGCTATACTGGGATTTCCAACAATATAACATTTATCATGTCAAGCTCAAAGTCTGCTTCGTTTCTAAGCCCCTCGTCCGTGTAGTGTTCACTCAGAGAGAAACTCAATGCTTTCAAAAACTGTAAGATAAAACAATAATTGAATTCAGTTTTCCCACCATGTCACGAATTATCAAACTTCACATCTGTGTTATCTACTTTGGACCTCTCTTTTGATAATTCTTAATGTCATGCTTAACCTCATCCAGTAATTGTTTTTTGCTTACAGGCTTCAAGCACAAATTTTTTCAAATTGTCTCTGCTGCAAATTCTACAAAGCAGAAGCAATGGTCACACCTTGGACAGGTGGTTCAAAGTCATGCAGGAAAAGTTGCAATAAATCCTTTCACTCCTAAGATCTCATAAGTGATTCTCCTTACCATCCTTGTTATAATTTTTACAATGTTAGTTCAGAGAATTTGGTATCAGATCAACTAATAATCCCCTTAATATTATTTTCTTTATTCTCTTTGTGTGTCTGCTTGATATTGTATTGATAATGTAAGCAGAAATTCTGTCTTTGTCATTCATGGGAGTTAAAAGTGTAAAGGCAAAACAAGGTAAGTCTTCATGCAAACCAAAGCAAGTTCAACACAGTTTCTACTCCACGATGGACCTGGGAGTGTTCCCAGTCCCTCAGATGTGTTGTCCATCACAGATTATCCCTAGCATTTCATCAGATTTCATGACCAGTTTGCTTATACCCCAGTGGCAAGTATATCCCTGTGTGAAGGGGGTGGGGAAGCAACTATGTTCTGTTCAAGGAAACAACAAAAGAAATCCTCTTAGGGCTTAACCTGGTTCCATGTCTCCCCAGGTAGGTAAAGTCTGTACTTAAACCAAGTGGCACCAAGTGACAAGGACTATTACTACCCTCCCCTTGCATGGAATGCCAGTCTGGTGCAAGGTTACCCCCCCTGCATTTCATCAGGCTTCCCTAAAAATTTTTTCCAACCAATTTGTACTCCTAGGTAAAACAGTTCTGTGAGAGTAAAGTGTCTTGCCCAAGAACACAACACAAACAATGATCCCTTCCCCACAACCCCATCCCCTGGTCTCAAACCCAGAACCCAGCATCTCCCTGATTATTCAGCAAACATTTACAAGCTAATGAAAACAATTTACCTCAATATAGCTTCATGCATGTTCTGTGCAATAACTTGATCATCAACTTGAATCCACAGCTCACCAGCCCCAGTGGCTGCAGACCTCCCAAGCTCCATAAAGAAAAAACAGTCTGTATGGCCACAGCGTCTAATATTGACCAGCTGCACCTCTATGGCTGGTTCTTTGGTGTCCTTTTTAACCAGTGCTAAGTTGCGAGTTGATAGCTGAAGGTCATACAGACCAGCTAGGTTCTTGCTAGTTCCCAATCCCCTTGGTTTCACAGCGACAGGCCAGGTTGATACTAAAGGATTTAAAAGAGTAAAGGTGACATGTAGATGTTACTTGGGACACCACAGTCTCATGTAGATGGGTTAAAAAGGGCTCCATCTTTCAACAGCTGTCCTTCATTAAAATGGGCACAGAGTCATTGATTAAGTTTACAACCTGATGGATCTTAATTAAATGTCATATCCTAATCCCTTACATCCTAACATCAGTATGCAAACTCTCCACACTGTGCTCTATAGATTTTCTAAGGAGCTGACAGAGAGAATTTGTTTAACAGTCAAGAGCTTCTTTATTTGATGATCATTTCCTTAATTCTCATGACCTAAATGTGTGATTCCACAATGACATTGTAAGGAGAAATCAGTTGCTAATCACTCTTAGGGGTTAAAAAGGTTAACAGAGTTTTTGTGATATAAAAAAATCTGGAGTATTTCCTTTCTCCTAGAAGGAACACTTGTCCATCACAGAAAGCCCCCTGCCCCCACCCCCTGTAACACTACACCATATGCTGGACCAGACCTCATCAATTTGAACAGGGCATGCTATCCACTGGATAGCCGCTGATCTGAAAGAAGCTCTTGATTGTTGAACAAATTCTCCTTTTCAGCACCATAGGAAGTAAATAGAGAACAGTATGGAGCATATGCATACTGGAATCATTTTTTCACTCCTAAAGAAACTGAAGTTAATCAGCCCACTCAGCTGGAACTAATCTTAATTTTGTTTGCAAGAAGCCTCTGGGAGTAGTGCTACTCTTTATGGCTGTAGGCTAGACTATGATAACATAAACTTCAGCCTTTAACTTCCAAAAGTAATGAACATGTAACTTCTCCATATAATATCCAAACATTATTTAGCACACAGGTAACAAAAATACTCAAACTTTTTAGGTACTAGAAGTTTTTATCTTGATCTGATGTCCAATTTCTTTTACCAATTTACAAGGAAATATGCAGCAGTCAAAGGGGGAAATTAATGATCAGATCTTGGAAGTTTAAGAATTTCCTGATCTGCCAAACCCTGAAAATATTGAACCAAGAGACGATTTTTTTAAAAAGTTTTTCAAAACAGCTTGATTTAATTGGGGTTAAGATTTCTCATTTTACTTTCGTCTAGAAGTTTTAGTCAAATTAACAGGTTATCTGGATTATTCATTGATGAACTCTCCTTCATAAACTGAACCAAGAGAGTATAGACTTCACATGCATCAATCAAACATCATGCCAAATTTTGCCTTACTACTTCTAATGACAATTTTTAGAAACTGTTTCAGTCTCCATGGTTAAGTGTAGTCAAATACCATTAATGAATAATTAAAGATTTTTTAAACAGGTAGTGTACCATGCTTGCTAGACCAAAATAAGACTTTTGACAAAACCAGTCCTTTCTTATTTTTGGAACCTCAACAGATGGGTGAATATGTTAATATCACTTTGCATATATTTTTTGCCGATTTGTGCAAAGAAACATAATCATGATAATATAAATTTGTTCTGTCGTCTCACAACAAAGTCATTAGATGTAGATTGCAACATTTCCAGCTACCACAATGAATAACTACCTATTTCATAACAAACATACTCATGTTAAGTGCTGTCAGGGAAAAGACAGAAAAGAGCCCTCTGTTAATTTCAATTTAGAAGTCACTATAATGCAGACCTTATTTCTTTTGAAGAAGTAAAATTTAAATTTCCTGCATTGTTTTTTTTTTTTCAAGAAATTAAGGCAAACAAAAAAAAACACCTGTACAAAGAAAAGATGTTGGCTTCCTAACCACACACAGGATTTCCAGAAAAATGCCATACTTCAGGAAATAATTAGTTGGCTTATAATGCAATGAACCCTTTAACTCTAAAGATCTCATTAGCTATTCTCATTACTGTCTGCTATACAGTTCATGTCATGTTTGTTTGGAGAATTTGTTACTGGGTCAACTTATAATCCCCTAATTGATATTTTTCTTTATTCTCATCACTTGTCGGCTTAATATTGCATTGATGCTGTTAGGAGAAATTCTCAGTTGGTCACTCATGGAGGTTTAAGGGTTATAGCCTGAACTACAGGAAACTGTTTAATCATAATTTACTTGTATATATTTTCAGGGGAGGAAGGGGTTGAATGTAAGTACAACCTAGGATTATGACATAACTAAAGTTTTTCATTTTATATATTTCTAGTGAAAAGCTTTTGAAAAAAGTAAATTATAATCATTTGAAAAGTTGACATAAATATCCTCACCCCTCCCCGGGTAAAAAATGTTTCAACCCCTCACCTGGTAAATGGGTCACAACGGGTAATAAACATGCAAAGGAGCAAATCCATAACAACAATGATTTCTAATTGCATGATTCCATGCTGTGTTGTCATCAAAGAAATCACTTACCAGATGCATTAAAGATCTCATCTTTTCTCTTCTCTATATTCATTATTTTCATCCAAGCGTTCAATTCGTCCTCCGATTCCGCGATTAAGCCAAAAACATCTTCCCGTGTGTACAAAGCAAACACCAATTTGTGCTTAGAGTCCTCTTTCTTTGCGATGTTTAGGCAGCTTGCTAGGTAGATCACTCGCTTTGGTGGGCCTTTTGAGCGGAATTTCTTCTCGCTCTCGAAGTATTCTAGTCGAGATTTGCCTTTTCTTGGCGACGAACGTAGAACGAAAAATCGCTTTTTCAGCGTCTGTTGAAAAATAACACACGATCAAAGTACTTTGTCACAAATACTTGTCACGTATTTGTAAGCGCGGTTGTTGCTGTGAACATTTCCTGCGCTGTAAAATTACGATCTGGAGAAAAAATTTTTCAAAAATTCGAGGAAAAAATTATGGCATGTATAACTAATCAGTAATACCAATCAACAAAGCACGGATTTGCATTCGCATCAACGCGTTTAATTTCCTTACAAAGAAAAATGACATTGTCTTTCAATTTCGTTCACATGGGCACTTGAATTCGCACTGAAAACAATGGGTGAGTTTAACAAGTTTTAGGTCCCGATCGTAATAAATAAATAGGAAAAACATTTTCAAAAATGAAACATTGAAAACACTGACGCAAAACTGTAAACGATTTAGACCCGCACACAAAAGACAAAGGCAAGCTTTTAAGCTCACAAATCTCCTTAAGAGAGGGCATACAAGCGATGTAATTACCCCATAACGAAAATCGTGTAGTAATGTTTCAATTTATGCAAGGCTTTAAACAATCAAGATTCTCTTACAGATCTAGATAACGATGTATCATATAAACCTCACCATTATCAACAGAAAATCGTTCTCGAGAACTCAAAATTCGTTCAGAATGAAAAGCTTAGACTACGTCTAAACATGCTTGAGTTTATTGGGCAAGAGTGCAAATTAGACTGTATAAACAATAAAAAGCATTCAAGGAAAACTAACAGGACAGACCCCTGGTTGAGGTTCACAACTGATTGCAAAATGCCGCAGAAAATAACAAAAATACAAAATAACATTCAAACATTCAGCGTTTACTGCTTACGATCGACCCAAACTTGAGCCAATATTTGTAAATTACAGCGAAAAGAAACTGCCGATCGAAGAATCTATTGCAACGATTGAGCGCGCACATTTATCAAAGAGATCTTTACCTTCAGTCTCCGAAGATGTCCTTCTTTTACAATATCTCCATCGTCCATAATGTCTGATTTCCGGATAACCATAGAAAGCGATTGCCAGATTCCAAAAAGTATCCTTGTGCCCTTGGACTTTGACGACACTTCGCGCGCTCCAAATAAATGGTAAGATTTCGAAGATTTCGAAGATTTCCAACTGGTTCGCTCGTAGCAACGTCACCCCTAGGCAATCGATGTCATTTTCGATCTAGTATTTGTCATGCTTCATAATAAAGTTGTTCTTCTTAGAGTTGGACAAAAGTGCTTGAAAGGCAATTATCTGAAAGAGAAGTCTTTGTGAAACCCCATTGCATTTTTACGACTCAAGTGTTATCTCTCTTGTGGCAAATCGGTACCAGTCTCCACCAAGTGGTGTGGGAAGCGATATGAGAGAGTGTGTAGCGTGATAATATTTCGTGATCCGATGTGATAACTACGGTCTTAAAACGAGAAAGAATTTATTCCTCAGGAAGTACCAGAGGTGCTATTTTTTTTATATGTACTCATTTTTTTTAATAATCGTGTGCAAATCTGACAAAGGAATTTATGACTTATGGACGTGGACGTGCTGACAACATAAACTCGCTCTAAGCGGCTAGGTGTGATTATGATGGAATAGAAACCTTCTTTTAGTTAATTTGCTTCTTTGTTGTTCACGAGAAGGCGACAATAATTGTTTTGACAAACTCTTAGCTTCCATTTCATTTTTATTTTCCCTCCTTCAAAAACAACAATAACATTTGAAATCGTGACAACGGCATCTGAAAAATTTCATCCTTCGTAATTTCATTGACCGTGAAAAATGGAAATTTCTGATGTCCAATGTACATTTTTCTGGATGTTATTTCGTAAAGTTTAATGAAGAAAATATTGAAACTTTCCAACTCACCAATAAATCTTTTGTTTTTTTGTATGGCTGATTTTCAAGCACGAATGTCATCACACACGAAGGGTGTGCTTCTTCCTCAAACCGGTAAATATTTTAAACAAAAAAAGAGTTGACCGGAAACTTTACAGCTTGTCAATATATTTCAATCTTAAATTAAGGAACAAGAAACCAGCCTCGAGGCACCTTGAAAACTGAACTCAGAAAAACACTTTAATTAATCCATCTCTAACTTTTTTTTTAACTGAAGGAAAAAATGCTTTATGAGACCTACAGGTGAGTTTGGTTCCCATACAAAGAAGGGGAAAAAATAATACCTTAAAAAACCACTTCTCAGACGTTATGTAAAACAGTTCAACAGAGTCGAGTACTTCAAGTAGGGCATAATATCTTTGATCTAGTTGTTTACTTTTCCTTCTGCCAGTATCTATGACAATGCAAGACTCATATGTATCAAATAAGCACAGTTACTGTTATCGGAAATTTGTATGTTGATGCAGGAGAATATTATTTTTCACACAAAAGATTTCGTGTATGAGAACAGCTGGGATTTAATTGTCCATTTCTGTTTCGAGTGTGCATGGCTCAGGAACAAAATTTGGTCCGAATTAACTTACCATGTTGACGGTCTGAACCAATAGCGAGAAGTCATTAAATTTATTATTCCATACCGAAACCCAAAAAAGGCCGAAACATTTAAACGCATGATTTCTTCGCCATCAAAAGATGCATTAGGGCTGCCTAGGGGTGCCAAATTAAATTTCGATCGAATTCAAAGCAGAACTTTAATTATTACTAACGAGAAACCTAACGACGTTTCCAGAAAGTGACACAGTTCTTTACACGAAAATACGGTCCGGGCTTTCTGGAAGCACTTTCTCTTTTATTTATCTGTGTCGGTTTCAATACGAACATACTTGCTAATGATTTAAACCCACGCTTCTTTTTTATCGTGATGTTTGTTTACTGGGAGAGTTTTAAGTATGCTAATAGCGAAAATTGAAATGTACGTCACACGAGATATCCGCTTTCGACCAAAACATGCAACAATGGCCAACATTACGAGATTTAAAGATAAATAAAAATAGCAAAAAAATTTCCAGGCTAAATGTTATCTACAAACTGCTTTGCATTAGAGAATTTCCTAACGCTAGCATATTAAGAGACAACTCACGTTTTTTTGGCTCATACGAGAAGATACGTCTTCAGGCGTGCAACTTTAATCCATCTGTAATTCATCCTCGTTCTATTTCAGTTAATCTTATCTCCAAAATATCTCACCCACCAATCAACTTTTAATTCAAAGGTTTCGTCTCACTAGAGGATACTACTATTATGCTGTAAAGTTACTTTAGTCATGTTCTGACCGAAAAACAGAGAACTGGAGGACTTGTGTGTATTCGTTCACTCCTATTGGTATTACCGATCAAAAAACACCGATTTTTATGGAAAACAAGTTGATAGGGGCAATAAGGTAGTATATTAATAAATAACATATCCAATATTGAAATTATAAATTCCGGTTATGATTTAACGTGAGAGGAACTGGGATAAATTTGCAAGGAAAAGTACAAGATCCTCGTATGAAGAGTACAAAATTCTTTAAAGTTCCGTTTTCGCAGCAGTTCGCAACGTTTTTTATTCACTCTCGCAAAACAATACCGAGAGGTCAGCGTGGTCCGGTGGTTACCAGAGAAAGGAAGACCAATCTACGCAATTTAAGTTTTCCTTTGTCGGGTCCGCTCTTGTTCCTTTCCCTTCAGGGGCTGAAGTAAAATCACTATGCAAAATGACCAGAAATGACCTTAAAATTGATGAACCATTCTACAGTGAAGTCGTTAAAGATGCGTTTCGAGCACGTATCAAAATAGAGAAGAAAAATTAACCAACGAAAAAGATGTTTCAAACTTGACCCCAAGTTGTCTCAATCTGAAATATCTTTAAGATGAACAAGAGAGATACTGACCAGAATAAGATATTAGGATATTCGGTTTAAAAGTGGAAAAATATTAATTGCTACAGACTTCCGCTTTCAAGATTCTGCGCACTAAGTCCCTTCCACAAAGTTGTATTCGTGTACCGTCGACTGTTCAGTTCGTTTGGTCGACGAAGTTCAAGCCGACTCATTTTTAACGCAATCGATGATCTACTGCTGGTGCCCACGGTTTTCTATGTGAAGCCATACTGAACCTGAAATGAACATAGAGTTTATCATAGACCGAGTTACAACCTCCAAAACACGTAGCCGATTATGATTTGAGAATATTAAGCCGTAACTCCTTAGACGGCTTCCGAAGGTTCCACGAAAAGGCGCCGGCAACGTCGCTAATTCCCCGCCTTCACTTTTTTTTGCCCGGTTTTCCTTTTACGCCTTTTCCCTTCTGTGTTCCTCTATTTTGCCGCTGCATAGTTTGTTGCTTCCTGTGTCGAGCTTTAAGTATTTGTTCCTTGGATTTTAGTTCGTTCCCACGCGGTTTGAAGCTTTTCCCCGCCACTCCTTTCCTGTTGGCCGAGTATTTGCTTCCACCGTTACCTAAAGCGGGAAAAAGAATCACAAAAACCAAAATATGCATCAAAACCATCGCCCCCTCGACAAGAAACTCCTTAGATATCACACTAATGAGGAACAGCCTGAAATGCAGTTCCGTCTCTGCCCTGAGAATTTAGTCGCCCAAAATGACGGTAGCTCAGAGCAATGCATATGCTTAGAAGAAAAGGAAAGAAAAAACAGTCGAAGTCTTTTAGGTCGTTTTTACCTTTCTTGCCTCTTCTATATTCCGGTCTCGCTCCATTCTCCTCACGATCTTCGGATCCGGGAACGTCCATCTTGTGTCTTTGTAACCAGTCCCGGTAGCTAATTATGATCGTTAAAGAGGTGAACAGAAAATCTTTAACTTCTTAAATAATGGTGTTATTGTGGCTTATCTGGCGCTGACTAGCAATAAAGCAAGGCGGTTTTTAACGCGGTAGTCGACTGAGGAGAAATCTCTCTTTCCTTTAAATTCACTTTTAACACTGCGCGTGCATTACCCCGCTGCTTGTGTTAGGATCATTATTTCGAAAAAAAGAAGACCCTTTCATTGAGAGAAGATCATAGAGTAAAAAATCATAATAATTTGGTACGACAGAGAACATCAATAAAAGGTTCAAAAAGAGCAAAAATGAGAGAGGATGATTAAGACTACTATGGAGTGCAAATATGAAAATTGAAAAATTCTAAGCTTGACTTTCTAGGGATCAGAGTGCTTCCATTGGCGTTTGAAGGATACATGTTTTTTCTGTAGGAAGCTGGAATCCTAATGCCACTTTCAGTTCGGATTTTCTTTACATTTCCATCCTCACCAACGAAATTCTTCCTTTTACGATCCCTGTAAAGAAAACGAAAGATATTTTCTTTCCTTTCAGTAGGCCATATTGTACTCATAACACTTCTAAAACTTGGGTGTTCTATAAAACAATATCCCCTAGCTGAAATATCACTGTATTTTCATCACCTGTCTGCCTGAAAGTATAGTGAAATCATCATTAAAAATTGTTTCGTGAATAAAAAGGGGTAAGTTTCTACGGAAACTGTGGTACCACGTTGGTTGAGGAGTGTAACAAGATCGTTTACTTTTATCAAATGAGTTGAAAATGTAAATTTGCCACCGTAAAGAGTTTCTTCGTCAGAGTGAATTCGCTCTGACGAAGGGCTAACGCTTGAAACGCCAGCTCTTTGCGGTGGTCAATCTGCATCATCAATTCAGTTGATAAAACCAAATTAAATTGTGTAATGGTTTGGCGTAAAAGGGTTATAAATCCAAAGAATAAAACGCTGAAGCTCCTTAAAATAAAGAAGGAAGAATATAGAGGAACATATTCTCATATTCACATATTCTTTGCCCCTTAGAGAAAACATGTTTTCTTCGACGCACTGATCTTGTTCTTTTGGTCTCGGCAAGAGGTATTTCAATCCAGAGGAATACGTTATTGTTGTTAAAGCTTTCGTTCATTTCGCCAAAATGTCAACTTCCCGACATGTCAATTCACCAACAATCAAATTGCCGAAACCTTTGATCAACTCGCACACACCATTGTTCAACTTGCCGACAACGTCGATCAGCGAAGGCGGAGTAACCAAAGGCCACTGTGGCGAGTAGGCCAAAGGTGTCAGTAAAATGACCAGGTAACGTCCTCGATATTTACCATTTTTTGACTGTCTTAGCCTGTCGCATTCCTTCAGCTTCGTCCGCTTGTATATCCATAACAGCGCCAGATACGTCCTTTTCAAACGACTTCAAGCCAAGCCTGGAAAGGAACGGTCATTGATTCAATTTTTCCTCATTATGACAGAATAGTAGTAGTCTTATGCTTAGCGTTACGGACTCCACATCGGACGGTCCAGTATCAGGAACCATGTCAAGTTCTCGTTCCCAAGGATAGGGCGTGAAAAAGAGACTCTAGGAACGAGGTTGGTCAGAAACTGGTGTTGTGTTAATCAGCCTGGAGAACAGATGACATTATTTTTAGAGCGCAGGTTAGCAAGAAACGATAGCAGAGACGAGTGCTGCGTGACTCTCGCGCGACAAACGCGTGGAACGTGTCTTGCACTTCATTCCTTTCTCGCTATCTCCTTACGCTAGCCTCTGCTCGCCTGAAAGATACACACCAAAAAAAAAAAAAAACGAAAAGCAAGATAACACCAGTCCAGCAAACTACGTGTTTCTTGGGTAATGATTGTCATGAGTTACTTGTAAATAAAAGCTCATAGAAATCTCCAGACTGCTTACTCATGCTGACTTGCATACCATAGAACTTTCCAGAAAATTTCATCGAATCACGCAGGTATTAATTAATACTACTAAAATAGTTCTTTTTTTTTTGTAAGCTTCTGGAAGGTTTCAGAACACTTTGTAAATATATTTAAAGATTCACTTATGAAGTAGTAGTTAGACTGTTTTGAAAGCTATACCGGAAGAAGGAATTTGGAGACAGCAGTGTGATTGTGTCAGTGGTGAGCTTGGATATAGATCGCGGTGGGCTTAATTAAGCTAATTAACGATAAGCATTGTACTTTTAGGAGTCGCTCCTTGTTAAGAACATTACTCGCTGTTTAATAAAGCAGTTGAGTTTGTGGGATTGTAGTGTTTTTCTGTGGGTTAGATCATACCGTAACAGATGAAAGAAACTAAACCTCGGTGTTTGTCAGTCAGAGTAAAAAGAAGAAAAAACATTTACGACTGTCTTGCTGGATATGGACTCTTGGGTGAAACACCTCAAGCTTGACCTTGACCTTGCAACAACTCACCCCAGTCCTTTCTCTCCATGGTGATCCGCAGCGGTGTGGGGAATGTAATTCTCGTCTCTGAAATTTTTGACAAGGCCTGACAACAGAAAGAGACAGTAATTAGAACTGTTATAGCAAAATAAACCATGTTGAACATAATGCTTTTACAAACAGTTGCGAACCAATTACCTTCAGGATCAAACTTGGACCCTTTACGCTTCTTCTTCTGGCTAGGGTCAAACACAGTTGCGAAAACTCCCTTGAAAAAGAAAAAAAAGGGAATGGGAAGATGCAAGCAGAAGCAGAAAGACAATGCGCATAGAAATAAAATACTAGCCTAGAAAAGGAAAAGGAGTATCGCCTTAAAATTGGTGGTCAATCAAGCAAATATTAGCCTCCATTGGCCTTCAACACAAGTCATGGAGGAGCTGTAAAAAACATTTTAAACAACAAATGAAAAATGATGGCAGGTTGTTCGAAGACTCTTGTCGAACAAACTAAACTGAACCTTAATAGGCTTTCTTCATTTGGTAATCTTACAAAGCTTCTTTTTGGCTGGGTAATGTTTCAGCCGAGATTCTGTAAAAGATTTTACAGACTTGTACACATACAATCATCGTTAGTTGTAGTACGGGCACGAAAATTGCATTGGGTTCAGTTCTATGTCATGCGCTTTCTTTGCTCTTGTAACATTTTCCTTCTAATCAACATCTTATTTTTACCCTTTCTTACTCAAGGGTCTGCTCGTATTTACTCACTTGGATTTCATCTGTAGTTGGACCGGTCTCCTCGGGCTCTTGTTCGGCACCACCACCCCTCCCCTGATCAGAGGTCAAATCATCTAGTTTCAGCCGCCGAGCTCTTTGAATTACATCACTGTGACGTTTTCTGCAAGCAGTCAAACCGAAGGGGAAAAAGAGGTTTGAAATGCACAGGTTGTGTGAATCTCACAAGGATTACTTCTCTATTTCGAGTTTGAGTTTCGCATTACGGTCCCTTATGACCAAATTCTCACTACTATTTCAGAAGGAAATGTGTAGAAGCTAGAAAGGAGAAAAGGAAACGGCTCTTGAAAGCAAAAGGATCAGTCACTTTCAAAATCAGACTCACCGTTTTGACATCATAATGGATTGTGCCGTAGATTTTGATGTTGAACCAATCTCAAAAATAGTCTGCAGAGGAGATACAATAAGACATAACACCGAAAAATATCATACTGTTGTATTAATCCCAAGAATAAAATCTTCACATCATTCTGTTTCTTAGCTAAACTTAACATTTGAAAGACTACGGAAACCGTAATCCGTTAACCCCTAAGAGTGACTAGTATCTAATTTCTCCTTACAATATCACCCCCAAAATCACACATGTAGGTCACAAGAAAAAAGGAAACGATCACCAGTGATAGAAGTTCTAGATTGTTCTACAAATTCTCCTCGTCAGCACCTTAGGAAGTGTATAGAGAACAGTATGGAGAATATGCATACTGATGTTAGGGTGTAAAGGGTTAGTCCGTTGATCCCTCTGAGTGACTAGCATCGAATTTCTTGCGCTTTCAGAGAAACAATAATTTGACAAACACGCATGAAAAGTCTTTTACCTGTTTAGGTCTAAAGTTCTTCACACCATCCAAAATGTCGACCTTGGTAGATGTCGCCTCTTTGGAGGATAACTCTACAAAAGGTAGTTTGCAAAAACCACAAAAAATAATCGTTGCTACTTTCCACCACAATTATTCAGTTATATGAATTTACTTTCACTCGTGACCATAAAAACCTCGTTAATCCCTAACAGTGACCAGCATCTAATTTCTCTATACATAATCACTACTGAATCAAATATCAAGGTTATGAGAATGAAGGAAATAACCAGCCAACTCAAAAGCTGTTGATTGTTGAACAAATTCTCCTGCTCAGCTCCATAGCGGTCTATAGATAACAGTAAGGAGAAGACGCATATTGATGTTAGAGTGTCAAGGGGTTAAAGCTTAAGTAGAATATAACAAACGAGAACACTCACTGAATAAAGGATGACTAGAAAGCGCGCCAGTATCAATCTTTTTCGCCCTCTTCACAGACTCTGATGAAGCATTCGGCCTGGATTTGATGTACTGCTTGTATCCATTAGCAGCAACTTGTCGAAGAGAAACCTAAAGATAACAAAGATAAAAAACAATTACTTTTCACATTCTAAACAGCTCTGGACACTGAAGTTATTCTGACACCTCGATTGCCCTCTCCTTGTTTAAAAATACTCCTCAGAACTATCCCTAAGAATGGTCTGTGCAAGGTGAGCGGCAATCAAATTGAATGCAGAAAAGAAGCGTGAGAAACAATTTAAAATTTCGATGGGTTCATACACGTATCTTCCCCAAACTGGTCGGGCGTGGCTACTACCAACTGATCTACAGAGACACATGCAAGGAGCAGTGAAAATTTTAGTGAGCTCTTCGTTCCCGCAGAGGAGTCACTGGGGACCTTTAGCAGTTAGGACGACAACGCCAAGGAAGACGTCGATTTTAAGATAAATAAATATTTCTACTTAGAATCTCGCGAATAAGGAGTGTGTTTACCATCCCTTACGGCGCCACAAGCTCACCTCAGCATAACGTTTGAGAGCGGCGTTGAGTTTCAAATAAAAACTTAAATAATTTGCCTTCGCGGTTTCCTTTCTCAGACCAAGAAAAAAATTGATGATTTCACGTTGTTATTTTACAGAGGACAACTAGGAAATGTGTGCAGTTTTAAAACGCATGTGATGAGCTATTGTTCTGCTCATTAGATCTTTTGTTTTGCCACGTCCTCGTTGCCCTCGCCGTCGTGGTTTGCTAAAGGTCCCCTATTCCATCGGCCGCTGACCGGCGTGGGAGTCTGGTTATCAACGATTAATCGTAATAATCATTGGTCATAATGATCAGCATAATCCTTTTTGCAAAAGTATTGCGTGAGTAATCAGCGCTTAACAGTCATGAAAGTCGTGCAAATGTTCTTCATCCATTACTCATCTGTCATCGATATTAATGAACCAACAAATATCAGTGACATCCAGAATACTAACCAAGTCATGTGATTTGTCGTGCGCCGTTTTCATAAAATTATCTTCGTCATCTACGAGCAGCTGAGGAACCGTACCTATAAGCCCATCATCTTGAGCCTGCGAGTCCTTTCCAGCAAACTTTAGCGGTCGACCAAGGAAAAGATGAAGATCCACCATATGGGCTAGCTATGTAACGAAAACAAATATAAAAAGGGCAGGCTCCTGATATGGTTCATCACGCAACCCTTCCCAAATCTTCCCCGCTTTTACACTGCTCCGCTTCCATCGCGTCGTTTATTATCGCGCTTCGTTTTAAAAAATTCATGCCTGGGATAGGCTATGATTATTACAAAAGCTAGAAGAATGTTACATTAACAAGTCGTCTTCTCGACCCAATTTCCCGCCTGGGCGTCGAAAGGAAACTGGGGCGAGGAGAAACCCACCAGTTACGTTTTACGATTTAAACTACCCGTGTGTTTTGCCAGACCAAATTTTCGCCTTCGCGGAGTTCAGAAATAAACGTCGAGAACAAACTTTTGCGATTTTTTGTTAAGGAAAACATGGGCTGAAACTCCTTATCTTCATCCTTTACTGACCATTGCGTTGCAAAACTCTCCAAATACTGAATTGTCAAGAAGGTGATACCTACTGCTTAAAAACACTGGCTCAAAACACATTATACAAATAAACTTTACTATTCTCCCTGTTTACTTCCTTGGGGCTTTTATTGAAATAAAAAAATAAATAAATTTGTGTCGCCTGCGATAATAAATGAAATGCATATCGCGAAATCCGCAAAATTAAAACCTGTGTGATATTCATTCCACGTGGTTAACTCTAAACAATGCAATTAAACGATCAGAGGGATATTCGCGAATATACATGTGGGTTCCTAGCTCGATTTATTTAGCTATCGAGCTGGATAAGACCAGCCACTAATATTTCGTGTAGAGCGTTTCAAATCAAAGGCAAAAAATTCACGAGTACACCTCAATTTGAATCAGTCGAATACTGAATACCGCTGACTCTATAACAAGATCTGCCCACTCAGAGATAAGTTGCTTTGCGCTTTACTGTACATTATTCACTGTGTTCCTAGAATTTAAGAGAATCTCGAATACCTCGTCGCAGTTATGGAGCCACAAGCATGTATGAACAGAAGGAAACATCAACAACAGCAAGACATGCTTCGCACTATGAATTCATTCAGGAAATCACAAACATTTTGCGATGTGATTCTCGTCGTCGAAAATCGAAAGCTGCCGGCACACAGAGTAGTTCTAGCAGCGAGTAGTTCTTTCTTCAAAGCTTCCTTTACGTCTGAGTTGACTCAGGAAAAATCCAGTGATGAACTCGAAGTGAACCTGCCGGATTTTCATCCCAACAGTATCGAAGAACTTTTGAATTTTGTTTACACCGGGGAATGCGGAGTTTCGGAGAAGAATGCCGAAGAACTTTTGGTCATTGCCGACTATTTCGATATTCCCAGCCTAAAAGAAACTTGTGCGGAGTTCTTGATGATAAGCCTCAAACCGTCCAACTGTTTATGGATTCAGATTTTTGCCGAAAGATACAACCATGAATTGTTAAACGAAGCCGCCACTGAATACATTTGCAATCATCTTTCATCTATTTGGAAAACAAATGAATTCTTATGTTTGGATTTTATCGAGTTGGAAGAGCTTATTTGTGGGAAAAGACTCGTAATCAAGACACAGAAAGGCGAAGAAGAAGTGTTCGAAGGAATAAGGGCTTGGATAACACACGATACGGAAAACAGAGAGCATTTCTTTGAAGATCTTTTCCGCCATGTTCGCTTGTCGGCCATGTCAACTCAATTTATCTCCGAATTCATCGAGCGTGACGAACTTGTCACGCGAAGTCACGATGCTCAAAGTTGGGCCACAGCAGCATTACGTGTCCCGGATGAAGAGCGTGACGAGCCTCGTGGTGTCACGGAGAGTGTTGTGCTTCTCAGCAAAAACGGCTGTACTTCTTGTTTCACTCCAGCCACGGGAATGTGGTATGACTTAGCCCGACTGCCGAGCTTCAACGAGGCTAGAGCAATAACAATTTGCGAAGGGCATCTGTTCGCCATTGGTTGGGAAGATGATCGCTTGACGATCGAAAAATTCGACCTGCAGAAAAACATATGGTCTGAAGTGCTATCGAGTTCGACCAACCTGCCAATGGCAGCTGTTAGTGTAGAAGACAGTATATTTCTTCTCAAGGAAAATGGCGTGACCCGTTTTAAGCCAAGAGACCATTCATGGGAAGATATGGCCCCAATGGACTCCTTGCGACGGGGCTTGTGTGCGGTGTCGCTAGGAGGCCTCGTTTACGCGATAGGGGGTCACGATGGACTTAGGCAGCTAGGGCTCCATAGCGTGGAGCGGTATGACCCTCAAAGTGACCAATGGGAATACGTGTCCTCTATGGACGAAAGACGCGCCTTCGCAAGTGCAACTGTGATGGACAACAAAATCTTTGTGGTAGGAGGTACTGGAGATAACTTTCTACCGCTACAGAATTGTGAGCTGTATGATCCTGTAACGGATACGTGGAGCCTTCTTTCCGCAGAGTTGTGCGTTCCTCGGTCACAAGCTGCTATCGGCAAAGCAAAGAGAAAGATCTTCGTGTTTGGAGGAACTTACAGCAATGGCATCGTGGAGTACTTTGACAGAGACAACGAAGAATGGATAGAAATCGGAAAGATGCCATCCACATTGTCTTACAATCACGCATGCGTCACTTGGTTACCGAAGGCACTGTTTAAACAACTGAAAGGCAGTAAGTTGCTCTGTGATCAACAGAACGGATAGATACTCAACAGCTTAAATTGGCTGAAGTAAGGACAGCACAACTTCTTAACCCTTCTGACCGTAGGAGAGACCAGCATCTAATTTCTCATTGCAGTAATACAGCTCAGTCATTAACTTAGATCATGAGAATAAAGGAAATGATCGTCAACCTAAGAAGCTCTGATTGTAAAACGAATTCCCCTTGTTAGTACCAAAGGAAATGTATTGGAAAGGGTATGGAGAATATGGTTTCTGATGTTCGTGTGTAAAAGGTTAATATGCTGGGGTAATCTTGTAAAATTTAGGTAGCTATTTACAGAAGTTTTTTTTGAGCATGGTATAGCTCAAGCCAGGTGGTTGTCATTTTTTCAAAATATCGAAAAGGGTTATATACTGTTCTCTCTGTCTTGACCTCGTTTGTAAATAAGATTAATTTAGATCCGATCTAATCGCTATTTGTTTCATAATGTCATCAACTCCGACGACGGCGCTTGTTGAATTTTCGCCCCTGAAGATGTAGCTCCCTTTCGGGGACGGCGATTGTTCAAGGCCTACGATCATCCAGGGCGTGAAATTGCGCCTAATACAGGCGCCAATGCGACTAAATTTTTCACTTTGGCGACCAAATCCTGAAAGTTAGTCGCCAAATTGGCGACTACAACGTTTCATCATAACCTTACTAAGAGGTATAGTGAAGAAAATAAATTTGCAAAGATAAATCCGCGGCAAACTTCCTCGTTAGGTTTGTTTCCAAAACGTAGCACATGCATCTCGATCGATAACTAGACGCCATCTTGGATTTAGATGAGCCTGAACGTTGTATATCATACATCCTAGTGTCCACTTTGTAGCACGTTAAAGATCTTTTCCCTAACTTAATTTTGGAGGGTCTATCTAGAACGCTGACAGCGCAAAGAAAGATTTTGTTTGTCTTTGAAAATGGCGACCAACTTTTTTTGAATTGGTTACCACTTTGAAGAATTTAGGAGCCAAGTGGCTATCAGAAAAAAAAGTTAATTTCACGCCCTGTCATCTGAACTTCGTCATAATCTTCAAGAAATAATGCACAAAAAAAGTATGTGTGTATATAATGCGTCATTGTATATGTCAATAAGTTTTTTCAATCAATATTTTCGAACCTGTTTAAGTTGTTATTGTATCGTAATTAAACGTTCTTGAATAGAGCGATTATAATTAGCTGTCCTCAAATGTAACGCTCTTTTCTTTCCTATCAGTTGTTTGGTCTTGTTATGCAGCCCGCTCTTTCTGAGAAGGTAACGCGTTGCGTGACCAGACCAGCCGACGACTGCGAAGAAGACTCGAGTGGCTGTCGCCAATTTGAGGAAAGGTTGTGTAGTTACTTTCTCTCGCTATATTCAGTATTAGTCAGAAAATTCCTAATCACTGACAGTGATCTTAAATTAAAACTAAGTATCGCAAGTTTTCAGTGTCTTGAACAACAATTTGCCTAGTGACTTGACACTTGTAGAGTAATACGGGAACATGCACCTGTAAAAAAAAGCTCCCTGCTCATCAGGCGTGTTTAAACGCCCAGCCCCTCGAAGCCTAATATTTGCTCAGTAATTCTCTCTAGTAGTTATTGCTTAAAAAATTAAAACAAGCTACTAGCTTTCTTTAATACCAGCAAAACAATTCTCCGATTTGTTAGCGTGTGGACATTCTGCATCTTAAACAAGCACACCTACATTGTAAGAACACACAACACCGCAATACTTAGAGCAATATACATACCTCATCACCGCTCACAAGGGAGTAAGCTGTCCCACTTCGACCGGCTCTTGCAACACGACCTGATAGTATGCGAGGTTTTAACGAGATGGAATCAGAACACTCTTTAAATGTGAAAATTGTTGCCTAGCCCCTATAATCCAAGATTTAACAAGAAATTCTCGGCTTCTCGTAACTTTTTTAAACTGGAATTTGGTGTCGCATCACACACTATCCCTCATCTGAGGTTTCTACCTCTACAGTTACCCCTTTGAAAATGGATTATTACTGTGAGGATAAATTCCTTTTTGATCACAGAACTCTTTCTTCACTTACCTACTCGATGAATAAAAAGCTTCGGTTTGGCTGGGAAGTTATAGTTGATCACGTTGTCTAACATGGGAATATCAATTCCTCGAGCCTATGAATTAAAACGACGGCAAATAAAAGAGAAAAAAAGGAGAGAATGACGAAATATACAACAACCCTCAAACAGGTAAATTACAAAGAGATCCAAGAACAATAAAAAGGCAAGTAAAAAATACAACGTTAAACCATATACACGAGCTTTCAGCGTTGTTTCAAGCACAACGGCGCAGTTTGTGCAGCTTCAAAAGTTTGGCGAAAACTTTCCACTGTTCCATTTTGCAATCCTTGTCGATCTTCTTTATATCTCCTTTATCAACTAACACCATTACTAGTTTGGATCAAAACTTATCTCTTTTGTTGTTTTGTTGTCTTAGCCGACTGTAATCATTTAGCCTCTACATAATCAAACTACGCTTTCAAGGTCAAAGAAATGACTCAAAAACATGATTACTCTGCAAAACAGGTGCCATTTATGTCCAATCAGGCGAACCTAGGCTATCGCGAGGCGAGCACGAAGCGGGAGTCTCGCGTGAGACTCGTCCTTCGCGCTCCCCTTTCTCGTGTCTCGGGCTCAGCTCCCTTAAAATATAACACCCATTCTGCAGGACGTATAAAGATATCACTTTTTTTCCTTTCGATACCAAAGATACTATGTAAAGCTTTTTAACGTAATCTTTACTTACGGCCACGTCGGTAACAACCATCACGTTTGTCTTCTTGTGTTGAAACTTGCCAATGTTGATCTTTCTTGCTGCAAAAGTGACATAATCATAACTCTTGTTATCTCTTGTACGAGCCTTTTTAAAGAACTGCGGTACGGTTTGCACATCTCAGTCAAAGTAACCAGATTTCTCAAGTCAAAGACTTACAACCAGCATAATATCTACGCAGCATCTACAAAGGGGAGGGAGGCGTTTTTCTTTTTCTTTTGGGGGGAGAGTGTGCACTAACAGTTCACTTGGTTCCAAAATTGCTAGTAAACTGTCTTCCCTTGATGCCCTACAAAAGGGCAAGTTATATCTTTAAAGCAGGACGGTCTTGCCCTCATACCTGTTTGGTCCAGGGTGCTGTACACAAAGGAGCTCTCTATTCCAGCAATATCTAGCAGCTGTGAAACAGAGATAAAAAATTATATTACGTGCATCAGTTCACATGAGAACTTTGTGACTTGATGGGTAGCGAATGAGGGCCGCACTCTCTACGATGGACTAGGAACTGGCATAGTTCTAAAGACAGGCGAGCTGAGAAGTTCAGCCTGTTTGAGTTGCAACGTCTTTCAGCGGTTTCCTAGTTTCTAGTTCCCGCGCAGCATTAACATTCTAAAACAATTTTTCGCGTCAATTAATTATCAGTCAGAATTTTTTCTTGAGTGTCTCTATGTTGTTTCGTGCAAGTATCTTAACCGTCGGGTATGTTCATGCTGCCGTTTTTTCGTTTGATGTTCATTTACCTTGTTTGTTTCATTGCAAATTACTGTTATATAAAAGCGTTACCTCCTTCAAGTATTCTACATGATGCTTTGTGGCCGTAAATATGAGGGTCTGTTCACTTGGTTTGATCACGTTTTGAAGAATATGCAATAGCACAGCTAAACAAAAAAACGGGAAAAAAAGAAGTTTTTCTAATATCAATTACTATGATCCATCAGATATTTTACACGTGCTATTGGTCTAGACTTGATGACCACTTACACTCCGCCCACGACTGTAAAATATTCGAAAATAAGCTAATCAGAATGTCTTTGAATTCAATCCCTCAATCTTATTGATCCATTCATGGGTCACAAATTAGTCTCTCTCTCATTAGTCAACTGCATAAACGAGCTGAATTCGTATTTGTTAAATACTGTTTGGCACATACAAAACACTCACGTCACCAAAATCTCAAAACTATTTCTACAAAAGACTGCTAGCTAATAGAGACAATTGATACAATGAGGTGAGTCTGGGCGTGATTCTTACCTGGTTTATCGACTGATCTCACCGAAAAAAAAGCCAGCTTAAAAAAAAAAAGAAAAGAAACACCGTTCGATAAGAAAGACATTTACAAGAAATGTTGTTAAGAAGTTATCATATTGAAGTGCACACATTTGGGAGAATGAATACACCGTAAATTCAATGTCAGTCGATGAAACAGCATCACTTTAAGGAGACACATTAACCTATTGACCCTTATGAAGGACTAGCGTCTAATTTCTCCTTACAATATCAACATCAATCACCTTGTCAGCACCGTAGGAAATGTATGGAGAAGAGTGCATACTGCTCTTTCGATTAGTTTGAAAAGCAGGGGAGCAGAATAAATAAGTTCATAGAGTAGAATGTCTAATCGTAAGATGAAGAAAAATCAAACATGTAATCACAATTGCATCGACACATTCTGCTACTTCAACGAGTACTGAAATTCTGTCAAATTTTATCTACTTCTTATCTAGCTATTAGATAATTTCTGGAATAATTTACAATAATTTCTCGCTCCTGTAAAGGGCAGAAAAATTGGATCAAAAATTTATACGGTATCAATAAGAAAACCAAGATTGAAATAATACCTTGAGCTGTTCACTAAGTTTGGAGTCAACATCCAGTCTTATAAGCACAGGATCAGTCAAGCCTAGCAAAGATGAGTAAATATATGTATTTATTGATTGAGAGGGAGGGCAAGTGAAAAACAAGTTCTCCTCATCATATCCATGCATTATGCAGCGAACAGATCATGGGAATACTCAGACTTATCAGGTAGAAGTTGTTATCTGATCTACCATCAAATTCTTGTAATTAATTTACAAGGAAATGTGTATTAGCTGTAGGGAAGAATTGACAGTCAGTTCTCGGGAGTTTAGGGGTTTAGCTATTGAAATATTAAAGAGGCACACAGTCAGAGAGTGATCTGTTGGCACATCATGTTTCTTGAAAGCAGAACACTTGTTCGGCTTCATGTAGGCCGAGGCAAGCATTCAGTTGGTAACCAGAGTCAAACAAAAGCACCCAAGGAAGTTCATAATGACAACTGAAGCCAAAATTACCTGCTTTGGTAAAATCCACCAGTAGCTTTGGAAGAGTTGCAGAAAACAGAAGAGTTTGCCTTAAAGATAAAAAAATGCTCACTTCACTAAAGCCAAATATTTCTGCTGCCTCAATATTTCAAATACAGATAAAAGAGGCCAGAAGAGGAGTTGGAGAATCCAACTCCAAACTAACAGTTCAACACACGTATCGAGTTTATCTCTTTCTTTTTAATTAATCTTAATTTTAATATAATTATATAAAATTTAACAAAATTATATTACATATTTTCATAGGTATTGTTTTATTTTTGTGGGTTACTTCCAAATAGCACTATTGCCTTCCTGTACTTTTGTTACCAATATATTCTATTAAAAACATTTAATATGAATCTGTGTAGCATAACCTTTAGTCATTATTGGAAAACATCTTTGTAAATTGCAATTTAAATTGTAACAGAAGAATTTGCAGCTGAAGATGGTGTGGGAAATGTTAAAACATGTCTTAAAAACTTGAAAAAAATAATAGAATAGAACTCAAACATCAGTTTGGTCTTTTCTAATTGAATCTAATTATCATCACCATCATCACTACCACCACAATTCTTTGTTGCAGAGGCAAAGGACTTCATTATACAGTCATGTTGTTTAATCTTATCAAAGGTAGAGAATGATATTCTATTTTATATCTTAATGATCATTACCCTCAATATCATTCACTACATGTTCTGATGTGTCACATTGAAAGAAAAAATGAAAAAAATATGAGAATCAATTGAAATGATGAGTCAATTAAAAGTAAGCTTTAGTCCATTTGATAAAGAATAACATGCTTATCTATGTACAAGCTCTTTGAATGCTTTAAAGTACCTGGAGTCTGGAAGACGGTTCAGGATTTCATGAAGTTGCTGGGCAAACCCCATCTCAAAGAGCCTATAAGTAGAAATTAAATATTCAAAGCACAAGTTTAAGTCTGGAAATATTACCCTCAGTATTCTATTACTAGTAAATTTGCTCATAACAAATGAGCATGGAATAGACTGAATGTTGACAAGATAAAAATTCATTGACACTGCTTTCAATTGGTAGCTATTTCATTCACAAAATAAGCTTCATGACTGCAAGCTTCATGAAAAAAGAAACAAATCTCTGAAATGGGACAACCCCTATCGATTAAAACCACCAAAACAAACCATAATATAGCCATAATATGGGCAACTCCAATTTATTCTGACCAATGGGAAACCTCTAACATGGAATCAATTCATTTTGAAAATAATTAAAGGAATCCTGATTCCCTTTGTAGAACTCCCACAACAGGGTTGAGTACCTTTTCACACCTTTCATTGTCAGCTGGAAAGGCAAGCCATGAAACAAGATTGCAAAAATGTTACAGAAAGAGGCAGTTTAGGTGGTCTGCCCCCTAAGTGGGGAGTTTATGGCCACAGTTTTTCTGGTAAAAAGAAGGATGGGGGGAACAGATGAGCTGTAATAAACTTAAAACAGTTGAACAATTATGTTGTTTACCAACACTTCAAAAAAAGGAGGGGCTACATTTACTGGAGCACACCAGAAGGAAGATTGAATGATAAAATCTTATCTAAAAGATGCCTTTTTTACAGTGTCAATAGCACCTCAGTCTCAGCACCTCCTTCATTTTATTTATGGGGGTACAAGATACCAATTTTGGTGCCTTCCATTTGAATTGGGTCCACCAACCCCTTTTTAGTTACCAAGTTTTAAAATCAACTGTAGCCTTCCTATGAAGACAGACGTACTCAAAAAGGTATTGCACTGCAGGGGCTTACAGCAGCACCTGGAAACAACACAGTAACTGGTGGGATCAGAGGAAAATGTATCCCTATTTCTCCATGATGGCCTCTGTAGCTGACTACTTTACAGGGCTGGGTAGCAAGGGCACCATTAACAACCACACACCCACTGAGGGTGGGGCAGCATGAGTTGATATATAAGGTGGTCATTGCTTGTTTCATGGCCAATCTGCCACAACCCAGGTATATGGTGACTTGTGATGTCGATAAGATGCTTGATTTAACATTCACTCTCTTGTGGATAACTCTACCCTATCAGACAAATGTTTGACCCTACACCTATCAAATTTCTGTACATAAAATTCTTCAAATTTAGATACTGTGACCCAAATCTTTCTTGGTATGCACAAGCCAATTTCCCCTCTTTCTATTCCAATGTCACATTTCACCTCAGAGTGGTTCAAGTATATCTGCACTGTAACATGATGATTGTTTGTTGACAGGGTTTTCTCCTGCTTGCATCTGATGACAAACCTAAAAGTTCTCTACCTCAAAAGGGTGTACTGCAGAGCGCACTTTACAAGACTGCAAGTTTTTTAATTGACTGAAATTGAAGATAGGCAGCAGTGTATTCCACAAGTTTTCTAAAAAAAGCCCAGGATTACTTTTGTCCACAAGAGTGTTTCTGGTGATCCAGACACTGTTGTCAACATAACATAACTGAATTCAATCAATTGGCCAATTAACTTAAACAGTGTTTCCACAGTTCTTGTTTCACATCAGGTACCACCAATTAGAATTGACACGTACCTGTCAGCCTCATCAAACACAACATATTCCACCGATGTAAGTTTCAGGTCCATTTCCATCACAACATGAAGAAACCGTCCTGGAGTGGCTACGATACTGTTAAATGAAAAAAGGAGACACATTTAAATTCCACTTGATAATAACAAAGAGGAAAAAGTTGTTCTTAGTTGCGGCACTGTCTTATTTTTATTTCTGACGTACATGTTTACATTTGATTCTTGGAGATTGTGGATCATAGGAGAAGCTTTCAAGTCTGAACCCTTGAACTCCTAGAAGTGATTACCTTGTAACTTGTTCCTATAATATCCATACATTAATATCCAATAAACAGGTAATGACTCAGAATACTCATAATCAGGAAAGAGTTGTTATCATGATCTAATGCCAAATTCTCATAGCTAATTGACAAGGAATAATTATTGTGCAGCATCAACTGAGAGGAGAACTAACAATTAGATCTTGAGAGGTAACGAGCTAAATCAGTAAACAAAAACATGCAGAGCAAAATTACTTACATATCTGGATTTCCATGCAATGCAGCAAACTGACCTTCCAAACTGAGAGCAAAATAAAAGTAAAAAATCAGATGGCAATGTTATCTTGAACAATTTAATTCATACCTGGCAGTTCCTAAAATTACATACTAAGGCAATCCCTCTGAAAATAACAACTAGCACAAGACTAGTACTAGAATATCATGAAAAAAAAATTGTAGTGCAAAGTGCTACAGTGTGTAATGAGGATACAGAACAGTAATCATGCTAATAATTCAGACTGTTTTGATGAAGTTTTTAACATCTCCAGAGGAAGACAATTAATATACTCACCTGTCTCCACCTAGCACAACAGCAGCCTTCAAGCCAGTAAACCTTCCCAGCTGAGAAAAATAACAGTTTTAGGAAATGTTTCCCAGAAGAATTGACCAAAGAGTGTTACTGTATATCAAATAAAGTGAAAGAGTAAAGCAGAAACTCCCATGCCTTAGGTGAAACTCCCATTTTTATAGACTAAAAACTAACATCTCAAGCTAGCTTATGGGGTCAGTAACTTTCTCACACCCAAAAGATAAATTCCAGCCATAACAGCAATAACTAAGATTTTTTCTTATAAAATATTCAGTTGTGGGAGGGAGTCAGAGCTCTAGATCTAGAGACAAAATGTTTGGCATCTTATCAGAAATGTTCCAAACATCTTAGAAAATTTTTGGCAATCCAATAGAATGTGATTGAGTTTTCTTTAGTTAGAAAAAGCTAACACTCCATGAATCAAGCTCTGAACAGATGGGCCCATTGGCTAGAGAAAAGTCTTCATCTGGCTTATAACAACAAAAAACCTGTCAACTTCTTAATTTGTCCCAACCTCTTTGGTGAATTTCAGGGTCTGGAGGGCCAGCTCACGGGTTGGTGATAGGATAAGTCCTCTAGCGCCAACCTGACAGAGAAATTCAAAAAGGTGATTGACATTTTTTAGATACACCACATTTCTTGCATTCTTGCATAACAATTCAGACCATGCAGCTTGATTGTTCGGGGAAGGGCAGCATTGAGAAGGACTGTTGTCGGCAGCAGTGGCTAACTTTCGACGAACAAACCAAACAGGACAACCTCTCATTACAGATGGATTGAAACTGACCAATAATGACCAACTTTTTTTACTGACTCAACTTTAATTCAACTGAACTGACAACACTTCTCTAGATCCTGACTATGACTTTTGCTGAGGTTGTTGAAATGTCTGTCAACACCGCCCACAATAGTCCTTCACAGGATTACTCTCACAATCAAATGTTACCTTCAGGTTCAAACTGTCAGCTGCAGACATGCTCCAAAACCAGCCAACTAAAGGCACCTTTGCTTTACTCCCTAATATCAGTATGAATATTCTCCATACTATTCCCGATACATTTCTTAAGGTACTGACAAGGAGAATTTGTTTAGCAATCAAGAGCTCCATTAGTTGGTGATCATTTCCTGTATTCTTGTTACCTCAATGTGTGATTCGGGGGGGGGGGGGGGGAGGAGGTGTGGTAAGGGGAAATTAGATACGAGTCACTCTTTGGCATCAAAGAGTTAACTAACCACCCCCAGAAAGAAAGCTTCAAGGTCATTTTTGAGAGTCAGACAATTCATTGATATTATAAATCAAGTTATTTATAGACAAGGCTACTTGTGATAGTTCACAGCTGATGAACTTTACTTTTGCCTGCAACATTTACCCCATATTTTCTTCAGTTTTCAACTACAAAGGCTGCTTAGTGTGGTATTATTATGTACGGCAGTGTTGGTACTGAATAATACTGTACCCTCTAAATAAATGCACCATGTAATGATGATTAAGAGTTTATCTATATGGAATTTAAACACTACCTTAGCTGAATGGGCCTTGAGTCTTTCAAACATCGGTATCAAGAAGGCTGCAGTTTTACCAGAACCTGTCAAAAAGTTAAGAAAAGTATTTTTTAAAAATTAAAGTAAGTTTTACTACATGTATGTGCACATTCATTGAAATTCCAATATCTGATATTTTTGCTGACTAAAACCTTGTGCTGAATCAGTTTACTCTGTATTTCCTTGATAAATTTTATCTGTTATTTTGTCCCCTCCCCTCTGCCAGAAGCTGGAAGCATTGATGACTTGAGCCTCCCATTAACTCACAGCAATTTGGTTAACCCTTAAACTCCCAGTTCAAACTTGTCATTCTCCTTAATGTTAACCATACAATTTTTATAATGTTAGTTCAGAGAGTTTAGCATTGGATCAACTAATTATCCCCAAATTAATATTTTTCTTTATTCTCATCATTAATTTGGTTGATGTTGTAAGGAGAAATTCTGTCTTAGACACTACTGGGAGTTAAAGGGTTTACCCATCAGCAGTTTTCTACAGTGACAATATTTGTTCATTCACAAAGAGTAAGAAAACTGTATTTAAAAAATTCAACCATAGCTTACAACGACAAAAGTTACTTGAACTCCTTAAATCTTATAAAATCACGTGTGTCATTTACCTGTACGTGCCATGGCCACCACATCCTTCCCATCCATAATTATTGGTATTGTCTGAAGGAAGACAAAAATGGATTTGAATTTCACCAATATTTAACTCCTTTACGAAAGCTACCCTGTTACAAAACCTTGAATATATACATGTACAAAAAGTGACCCTTTTTTTGTGGTAATAAAAAAGGTACTCGTGAAATATATAGATGAATAGACTCCCAGTAGTCAAGAGCAACATGATAAAGAGTTTATGGTTTTCACCTATGCTGCTAATGATACCAATGATGTGCACACACAAATACATGCATAAATAGAAGAACTTCTTCTTGGATTATACTATATTACATATTCCTGGAGTTGTGATCATGTATGGACTAACAATATTTAAAGCTTCTGGTAGGGTGAACAGAAAAATCAAAACTTTGTATGATTAAGAGGAAACTTTCATGTAGTTATATGCAATTTAATGGAGTTAACAATGAAGAGCATCAGCGTTCTCTAGTAGTAAGTGGTTTTCCGCATATGCGCATGAGTCAGAATTCCATTTGCTCTTTAATTGAGGTGTTATTGCACGTGCTTTGAGTGTAAACTTGCTACATTGTGAGGAGTGGTAGCTCATCATCCAGGCAGTTTTCCCTGCCTCTCCCTTCCCTCTTTCCACTGCTTATTCAGTGTGACAGGTGCCTGTCTCCCTTTCCTATGTCAGCCATGGGAGAAGTATCCATCTAGGAGCTGGCTACCAATAGTGGAAGCTCCTGGATGTCTCAGGCACCCAACCTCCACTTAGCAAAGCAGTTGTTAACCAGAATTGTAAGACAATGTGCAACACCTCTTAATATTTAAAACCCATGTGTGACTATAAAAGGATTTTCTCATCATAAGATCATGACATTATCAAGTAGACAAGTGATAAGAACCAAGAAAATGTCAATCAGGGGATTATAAGTTAATCTGATATCTAATTCTCCAAACTAACATCGTAAGAATTGTGTCACAGACAGTAAGGAAGATTACTACTGAGATCTTGGGAGTGAAATCGTGAAACATCTTTAAATTGCAATCATGATAATCACATACTGGACCTTTATTCGAAGGAGAATTGTGCAGATAAAAGAGCAAAGGCCAATCAAATTTAGCCAGATAATTTTCTGATCTCCAATGCCTTATAAAAACCCTGCATTTAAAGATGTAGTAGTAGTAATGATGCAAATCCAAATGAATAATTATTAATCATTAATATTAATCATTAAATTCAATGACTAGAAGATATACACTCATAATGTTAACTATTAATCACTACTACTATTATCAATCTTGGTTAGCTACATGTAAACCTACCTTTCTTTGAATAGGTGTAGGAAGTTTGTAGCCTTTCTTCATAACTCCTTTAAACACTGGGAAACTTAAGCCTGTATATATAAAAATAAATTTTTATTACAGTACTCCTCAAATTCTGACTTGTTAACCTTTAACTCCCAGAAGTAATGAACATCTAACTTCTCCCTGCAATGTCCATACATTATCCAGCAAACGGGTTAGGAGAATACTCAAACTTATCAAGTAGAAGTTGTTGTCTTGATCTAATACCAAATTCTTGTAACTAATTTAAAAGGAAATATGTAATAGCTGGAATGGAGAATTGACCATCAGATATTGGGAGTTACAGGCTTAAAAAACTTCAAACCCTTCCTAACAAAAGTTACAATAAAAGAAACTGAATGTTCATAATCAAGGACAGGTAAAAAGAGGAATGTTTTCAAGGAATTTTGTATCCCCTGTTCACACATCAACTTATAAATGGTCAAGCTGACCAAACAGGGTCTTTGAGCATTGGAGCAAGGATGTGAGGGTCTGATGTCCAATTCCTCCCGAGGATGCAGAATTTTTGTTGTCCCAAGCTTGTATTAAGACATAAAGACATATTTCTCTACATCTATCTTTGTCCAAAATATAGTATTACTAAAAATCTTCAATACCCATAGATTGAAATCCTCCTGATTTTTTCTTCTTTTTGATGTGTTGAGTGACAAGTCCTCTGGTGTAAAGTCCAGCCTCATCGTCAACATCATCATCATCGTCTTCAACATCATTATGATATCTTAAATCTTCATCTTGTTCATGATTATAGAGTCCATCAGTTTCCACCTAATATAAATACACACTTAATTTGCACACTTTACTCGTTTCATGACAAAATTTAAGAATAATTTGACCCAAAGTTAGCAAGTTAGTCAATCTACTGCCTACGATTGACTTAATTGTCACATAGAATGATGAAGAAGCTGAAGAAATTAAAACCTAGAAATTACGGAAATTAAAGAACAACTGATAAATAAGTAAGAGGTTAAGAGATGTGCAGTAAGGATTTGCAGAAGAGCGATGTGAAACGTATCAATTTCAGTCCAAATTTTGACATCGATACGCGAAGTAGTATTATTTCATAGGTGTATTTTTAACAACATGATAAGCATGCAACGTACGTAGTAATGTATCTATAACACGTGAATAATTTGGGGAAATCGAGAGAAAACTTACTCTCTAATGCAAGGTCCATCAAACTTCCTTTAAATCTCAGGCTCTAAGAATTTCCTCCTCGAAGTCAATGCAACGAAAAATAGACAAACAAACAAAGTTTACCTCAACAAACTCATCAGCCTCTTCGTCTCTTCTTTTCTTTCTCCTGAACTTCGATGGAAGATTGTTAGTTTTTTTCTTGTTCTTTTTCTGTTGCAAAGTTTTATTTGGCTTTCCCTTTGAAGAAACGAGAGACTTTTTCTTGGCCATGATACACAGCAATATTAACCATTTATATTTGATTATCGACCACAAAGCGAAAATAAACCATTCAAATGTGGAAAAGTTGCGTTGCTACACTATTCACTTCGTCCGCCATCTTACCATGCGTAAGGAGCCTGCGTTTAAACAGGATAGCGGAAGTGTGACATTTTTTAGTTATTTTATTGGTCAATGCCATGACAACTCAAAAAGAGTAAACCAATCACAGCCTGGCCGAGAAGGCGGCAAGCCCAAACACGCGGCAAACTTGTTATTAATTGTCACCTTTGTTAGTTACCATCGACGAAGAAACGTAACGAGTGTTAGCATCGTGCTGGAGGAACCTTTTTGTCATACCACAGCATTGTACACTCTCGTAATCTAAGCACGATAAAGAAGATGGAGAGATGCCCATCGACTGTACAAGCAACTCCACCGATAGAGGACAATCCTTCCTTCACTCAGCACATTTTGTGGGCACCGAAGAAGAAGCGCTTGCATCGAAGAGTTATTTCATCAGAACTTCCTTCGAGCGCAAGAGCTCATTCACATTCGAAAATTAGAAAGCGCTTGATATACCCATCTCTGGAAGACGATGAGAGAAAAGACGAAGAAGAAGAAAAAAGGCACCTGCTTGAATGTAAACAGGATTCATACAACGAGGAAAAGCATTCTTTAAGGACACCGGATTGTGCAGGAGACAAGCGAAATGATGTTCATCTCAAATTGTTGAAGCCAACGGATGCACGCGCTCAGCTGCTCAAAACTAACCACAAAGGCAGAAATGTGGATCCACAGCGCATTAAAAGGAAGTTGGCTTTAAGCAGCTTTCGTTGAAGACACGGAAAAAACTTTAAGTGAAAGAAACAGACATTGAACATTGCATAAAGTGCATGTCGTAAAGTTGTCGAATTTGAAACTTTGACGCAGTTAGAGACTGCGGAACTTTGAAAGCTATGCAATTTTACAGCAACTAATTTATGAGAACAGCGTTCTGAGAGCGTGCATCAATCTTTGCTGATTGATATTTAATTCAAACTGTTCTAAACAGTCGAAGAAATGCGGAATTTAATTTATTGTAAGCTGGACTTGCGATTGGCCGGTGCAATTATTTAACTTGCCGAAAGCTAGCTTTGCCTGCAAGTTTGGAAAGAAATACCTTTAGGTAAGACTGGCCCAAAGAGACTTGTAAAACCATAAAAATTAATATAAGAATCCTGTAAGTTTTAAAAATCATGTAAAAATATGAAATTAATTACAGTGTATTTCAACAAATGGTGTCCCGGTAACTGCTTAGAAGTTCTGTTCTCCCATCTTGACAAAAATTTTGAGTTGAACGAAAAAAAAGGAGCCCTCATGACAGTCTCTACATGACAAAGAGCCAGTGAAATAAAAATCTCAGTGTGACTGAAACAAAGGTAGTCTATGGATATCTGTCATACTAATTTTCTAACAAATTTTCCACAGAAACAAAATTTCAGTGCCATATGCCAGCACCATTTACCAAGCTCAACATAACAAAATTAAACATTCACAACCAAATTCAAACAGAACAACGATTCCTTAATTTGATCCTGCCAATGATTGCAATGGATCAAACCAAGGACAGAGAACAATAAATTAACTCATAATTAATTGCATGTTTCCAGGAATTACATTGCTTTGATCTGTGTGGGTGAATCTCTCTAACCCTTTAACTCCCAGAAGTAATTAACATAAAACTTCTCCCTACAATATTCATACATTCTTCAGCAAACAGGTAATGAGAATATTCAAACTTATCAGGTAGAAGCTGCTATATTGATCTAGCACCAAGTTCTTATAAATAATTTACAAGGAATTGTGTAGCAGCTACAAAGGAGAATTAACAATCAGATCTTGGGAGTTAAAGGGTTAAAGTTGTTCACCTTTCAGCCCTTTACATAACCTTCACACCAGCGTGTACATTCTCCACACTGCTCGTTACATATTTGCTAAAGTAATGACTAGGTGAATTTGTCAGATAATTCCGAGCTTCCTTAGCATGGGATCATTTTTCTTTATTCTCATGACCTTAATATTTGATTTAGGAGTGGTACTGTAAGGAGAGGTTGGAAGCCAGTCACTCAGGGGTTAATTTACATGCTGAAACATTAAATTTCCTAATCCTCCAGTATTTATTCTTCTCGTGTAATTTGTGAATGATACAAAGATTTATATAAACAATGAGCTATGGATGGAAAAAACCTAAACAACTCAGTCTACACTAGCTGACCAAAGGTTTCCAATGGTCTTTACTCACAATGACTTCATGTGAATTGTTACATCATGAACAGTTGATGGCAAGGAAACTAGAAGTTTTATTTACTAGTGTTTATTGTCAGGCCAGAAAAGGACAAAACTGAGAGCAAAATTGGAAGCAGTATTCCAAGTGAATATCTCTTTAATGAGAAAACCAAAATAATGTTACATTTAAAACTAAATATTGGCAGTGTGGCTACTTAATTTTTTGATAATTATTCACAAGCAATGCTTTCATAACAAGAACTACAATATTATAATCTTTCTGAATCTTAAGGCCCAGTTGGTCAAAGGGTAGATAAACCCTATCCAAAGGATAAATCACTAACCACTGTGCTGTCTGCCATATGGAAATTTATCCAGAAATAACAATATCCACCCTTTGAAAAACTGCGACCTGGACTGCAAAGTACAGCTTCACCACCATTATGTTCTGTCTCCCCTTCAAATTTTGCAATTCAAGAATGTGAAAACATTTGTGTTTATGAGAACAAAAATAATTATCAATGGTAAAAATTGTTCAACATCAAACTCCATATTCTCAAAATAAATTTCTAAGAGAAGCCATACAAAATCCTGAGCCTCTGATCATGTAAATTTGTTGCCCACATATGCAAAGATCCCACAAAATTGTTACCTAGGAAACTATCTCAAAATGCTTTCACATTATTAAATTAAGCAAAATTTGTGGCATAATTTAAATCTTCATAATGACTAAAGGAAAAAATTACAACCCAGTGCTTAAAACACAGTGTATAAGAAGACCCAAAGAGGGTATGAAAGCTAAGATTCTAAGGCTGAAAGATGTTTAATTTTACATACACTCCTATGGTGGAAACTGTACCATCCATATGCATGTTTGTATAAAAAAAAGTGGTACCAATAGCCATTATAAAGATCATCTTTGCTTTTCTGAAGTAAAAGATATATGTAAAATCATTTATAAAATTTTTCTTCATTTCTTATATATTTCTGAAACATTTAACAAAATTAACAATATAACTTGTTCTCTTGTGTTTCTCAACCTCTCCCAGATCTTGAAACTTGCAAAAAATATTAAAGTTGAAGACACTATGGTCAAAAAAGATGATAAAAGTACATAGCATAGTAGGTAGAGTGACTCAAAAATTGTCTTGAATCAAGAGCAACACCACCACAACTATATTTACAATAACAAAAACAACAACAATAGTAAACAAATTCACTCTTAGAGAGTCTTTTGGTTTCTTTTCTTTTCTTTTCTTTGAACCTGCTATGTCACCACTCCACCCACACACACACACACACAAGTGACTCAACACCCTCCCATTACCACGCCCATTTGTTTCTCAATTGCCTCACTATTTCTTGAATTGTCTTCCTTTCCCACTGTTTCTTTCTTTTTACTCTCTCTGTCAAAAATTTTACATGAAAAAAATGTGTGTTGGATATTCCAGGTTAAAACTATGAAAGTATTTCTGATCCATTGCCACTTGTTAAACTCACACACAAAAGTGAAGACCAGCAGTCACAGTAGTCATTAAAAATGGTTTAACCTTGAAATTATGCTTTCATTCCTTATCCACAGACTATTGATCCTTTCTTGATGGAGTCCTCCAGTTTTGAAAACCACCTACAAAAAAAGCCAGAATAAAAATGGCTATTATTAGCTTTAATGGCTTTTTCATTGTTAAGTCAGATAATACAACTTTACAACCTAACATCACTATGTATATTCTCCATACTGTTCCCTATACAGGGCGTGAAATTAATTTTTTTTCTGATAGCCACTTGGCTCCTAAATTCTTCAAAGTGGTAGCCAAGTGAAAAAAAGTTGGGCCCCTTTTTAAAGACAAACAAAACCTTCTTTTAAGCCGTCAGCATTCTAGATAGACCCTCCAAAATTAAGTTTGGGAAAAGATCTTTAACGTGCTACAAAATGGACACTAGGATGGACGATATACAACGTTAAAGCTCACTTAATTCCAAGATGGCGTCTAATTATCGATTGAGATGCATCTGTTGCGTTTTGGAAACAAACTTAACAAGGAAGTTTGCGACGGATTTATCTTTGCAAATCTTTTTAATTCACTTTATCTCTTGGTAAGGTTATGATGAAACATTCTAGTCACCAATTTGGCAACTAATTTCCAGGATTTGGTCGCCAAAGTGAAAAAGTTAGTCGCATTGGCGCCTGCATTAGGTGCAATTTCACGCCTTGCTATACATTTCCTTATGTGCTGAAAAGAAGAATTTGTGTAACAATCAAGAGCTTCTTTAGTTGCCATCATTTCCTTTGTTCTCCTGACATTAATGAGTAATTTGGCTGTGATATTGTAGGGAGAAATTAGATGCTAAGGGGACAATATTGTGAATGGTTATTCCCCATTGCCAACCAGCGGTGGATCACAGCTAACATAAGATTGCACTAAGACTAAAAAAAAATGAAAATAGTGCATAGCTGCTGGAGAACATTTCACTGCTGATCATAAGTGTAAAGATTGAGAGATGACAATTAAAGGCCTATCTGGCAAACTTGGACTGAACTCTTTACCCTTATAATGTCTCTCCCTCTCTCTGTAGGAAAGTATATACCTATATGGTGCTGGCATACATGTATGTTCAGAAAATTTGAATACATGAATCCCATCAAAATACCTCATGCTACAGAGGAGCCATAAAACTCAGATATCATAACATTACAATAACGTGTGACCCTAACAGCAAAATCCGCAGGCCAACCATTTTGGAATTGATTCTCATGAATGATGTTGTGATGGTATTTCACACCTACAACTAAGGTCTCCTACCTATTCCTGTCCATATCACTATCGGCAGCAAAAAAGTAAGTCCTATATAATGGATCTGTAGAAACAGCTTTAAAGTAGTATTTCTTTTCCTTCTGCTCCCCTATTTGAATTGTGTAGCCATGAAGCTTTGCCACGCCCAAGGCAACGGTGTTGGACATGTCAGAGTAGTAGTAGAGAAAGCCATCCTTAAGGACAAAATAGCGTTTCCTCCAAACCTTGATACCCTGGCCTTGCTTGTGTAGGTAACCATGGCAATCAGGATCCCTGATTGATAGGGCAGGAATGCTGACATTGTGGACACTTCCTTCCGAAAGAGTGAATGGATTGGACTGCATGTGAGAAGGAAAGAGGAATATATGATATGCATTGTTGACAAAGTTTGTTTCATTAATATGGTTGGATATTGGAAAAACCAGCAAACAAACAATCAAACATCAAAACAATGTCAAAAGCCAATATCCAACAGGAATCACTAAAATACCTCAATAAATCTCAGTCCATTCAAAGCTCATATTCTGCGACCAAATGTTTCTTACTCTATTTCTAAAATCTGAGGTGGCAGAGGGAGGTGGCATGCACAAGCAAAAGAGCCTGTCAAATTCACTAGCTGCCAGCTCTTACTGAGAGCTCTGATAATTACTTGTGATATTTGTTAAATAAGAGATTAAAAAAAAACTACATACACTGCCAGATGACCCCTTGATTGCATCCATCATGGCCATCATCCACTTGCGCATGTCCACGTCACTACCTGCACACATGTAATATGTCCTTGCACCACCTTTGGTCAGCTTGAAGCAGTGGGGTTTGTTAATCTCAGGTGCTTTTGATATTGAGTAGTTTGCCAAGATGATTGCACCACAGGGTGATTTATCTTTTTGTTTGTTGTAGTAGTACAGGCAGTTGTCACTTCTCAACACAAACCTAATGCAAGCAAGTAACATATCAAGACATGTTTATTTGATTGCAGGTTCATAATAGTAATAGGATCATGTGGAGTCCATTTTGGTCTGAAATTATATGTTGAGTGACTAACAAAATCAGATGATCCCGAAGTGGGAGTCCAATTTGTAAATCAAGAGTATGATTACCGACAGAATTGGACTATGCAAAGTCCTAAATAAAGAAAGATGTTTTTTGTCTTGTCACAAGCATGGGACAAAGAAAAATTCTGAGTCCCCATGAGGACACAAAGTCCTGTTACCAATTAATCAAAACAGTTACAATTAACTAAAATGAAATACTTTTTGGACAAATATCTCTGGTAGAGACAATAACTAAGTAAAAAATTCCTCAATTTTGGAAATTCCACTCTATTTTTCAGGACAATTGGTTGTTGAAAGGACAAAGTATGATTGGCTGCTTCAACTGTCCAATTAGAGGTGTCCAATTACAGCCAACTGTTGATTACACTGTCCTATTACAACTGTACAGAATGATTAAAGAAAAAAAAAAGCAGCTGATGCTCTAATCACATTTGAGGAGATTGTAATGGATATGATTAGAACAAAAATTAATTGCCATAGACTGTTTGCATCACACTCCTTCACTTGACAATTCTCTTACCATCTTTTCCTCCAGTTCTTTGGGGTTAAGCCGGATCCACCCATCTTCAACAAGTGTCCTCTGATGTAATCTAAACAAAAAAAAAATTGCATTGCATAGGGTAGAAGAATTTAATCTCTTCTTTCCTGTTCCCTCTTATGCCTGATGGACTGATCATACATGTAAGGAAATGATTGTTTGGTGTGGTCGTCCATCTTCTGCTGTCAGCTTCCATGCATGACCTTATCAGAGTTGCATCAGAATGGAAAGTTTAAGCCTTAACACCCTAACATCAGTATGCATATTCTCCATACTGTTCTCCAAACATTTCCTTTTGAGCTGACAAGGAGAATTTGTTAAAAAATGAAGAGTTTATTTGGGTTGTGAACATTTCCAATATCCTCATGAACTTAATGTGTGCAGATTCAGGAGTGATATTTTAGGGAGAAATTAGATGCTTATAACAGGATCAAAGGGTTAAAATAAAAAAATCACATAGGTCAGCACTAACCCTCCTTAGTTGCTTTTCCATCAGGAATGTCACTTTTGGAAAAACTTTCACGGAAGTCTCTCTCAGAAACAGTTGATGAATCTGATGACAAGCGTTCCCTGTCTGTTTCCAGAAGCCATGACTTTCTATTAGAAGCTCCAAGATTGTCAGTACCAAAGGCATTATTCTCCTCATCATCTCCATAATCAGAAGGTGTGTCTGAATCTATCCCATCCTCATTTGATGCTGGTGTTCCTGGTCGACTGTTTGATGAGCTTTCCTCTGTTCCTGCTGATATGCCACTCTCGTCTGTTGTAATTTCAATATCAGGTATTGCTGCTTCCATGCCACTCCTTGCAACTTCCAAGTCAAGTTCATCTGCAGAATCTGACTTCTCAGTGGAGGCATTGTCAAGGTCATTTTTGCATTCCTGTCCTGTTACCTCTTGTGAAGGTTCCTCTGCATTACTTACTTCTCCTGATAATTCACCTTCTTGCCCTACATCTTCATGTCCATCTGCTGGGTTACTAGTCTCCAAGACACTGCTGTCTTCAACTTGTGAATCCTCACTGCATGGTAGAACTTGCTCATCAGATACAGCATTTTCCTTTTCAACGACTGGTGTTTCAGTAATGTCCACTTCAGTTTCCCTGTTGTCATTATCAACTTCATCTGCTATCTTCTTACAACTCTCTTCATCTTTGTTTCCATTGTCAACATTTTCTGATGTAATCGCCTCAATGCATCCTTCTTTGCCACTTTCTTCTTCTATTTTCATTTCATTTGATTGTTTCATCTGAGTCATTGCTGAACACAGTTGCTGTTCAAGCCCTGCTAGATCCTCCATGGCCTTTGATAAGCTCTTGGCAAGATCAGTAGTGGTTGATTTTGGGTAATTCTCACTATCAACCTCTTGGACATCACCAGATGAAACATTAGCACTGTCAACACTATCAGTCTCACTACTTTCAGTTGTTTGTACTACAGTATCAATCAAACTCTTTTCTAAACTTTCTTCTGTCCTTACTGACTTACTTGTTGCATCTGGATTTGACGGAACAACAACAGTTGTACCATTTTGATCAACTGATTTCTCTTCATCACAAATCTGATTAGATATTGCCATTTTTTCATATGGTACCTCTGTAGCACCTTGCTCAGGTGCACCATGTGAATTTACCTCACCACTATCAGAAATGTATGATGCAGAACCACCTTCCACTCCATCTTTACCTTGAGGACATGACTGTTCATTCTCACTGTTGTTGGATTCCTTAACAGGTGATGACAGATCTGAAGATTCCACTGCTTCCTCTTGCTCAAGTGTTCTATTCAAAGAATCCTTAAGATCACTTTCTGTTTTGTTCTGATCATTTTTTCCAGTTTGAGCATCCGTTTGTAGTTTATCAGTGATGCTATTAGAATCATTTTGCTCTAAGATGGAAGGATCAGAAGAAGCATTTGCTTCTCCTGGATTATTTGTTCCTTCCATTTTATCTTGTTTCTCTGCATCACTACTGCTGTCTTGAAGCTTCTGATCAGGAGGGTCAGAGGGCTCCCTTACTCCATCTCCAACTCCACTTATAGCATTAGCCTCCTCTTCTTGGAGTTTAGGATCATTAGCAATCTCCATAAAAGAATCAAACAATTCATCAGCAGCTATATCATCAGCAGATGATAATTCTTGTGGGGATTTTTCCTCAGGAGTTTCTCCTTGATTCATGAGACCAGTACCATCCTCTCTTGTTTCATCAGCCATTGCTCAAACACTCAAGTCAAAAAGCTGTATAAAAAAGGTAAATAAAAGATATCTCCATAAGGTGAGTCCTCAAATTTGCATCTTTCTTTCATTGAGCATCCTCTTTGGATAAGCTCCCCTCCTAATGACTAAAATTTTAGATTGGCTCCCCTACTTATGTTGCCAAAATGATGATGTGGATGCATGGTAAGTTATGTCTGTACTCGAGGCAGGTGGTCTGTCCAGCCCCAGCTTATCTATAGCAGGAAGTAACTACAAATATAACTACTCCCCCTTGGATGGGATGCCAGTCCATCACCAGGTTCCCCCTCTGCATTTCATCAGCCTTCCCAAGAAATTCACTGGTACCCTTTTAAACTCCTAAGTTGGGAGAGGCACTGATCTTTATGACTTTAGGAGGGGAGCTTATCCAAAGAGGATGCTCAATGAAAGATGAAAGTAAAGTGTTTTGCCAAAGAACGCAACGCGATGACAACTCGGCAAGGTCATAAACCTGGACCTCTTGACCCAGAGCCCAGCATACTAATCATAAGGTCACTGCTTCTCCCGATAAGGAGGCCTAGGTTATGTTTATCCTTCCAGTCAAGCTTGTTTTACGATCACTAGTACTCATAATTACTCCTAACAACATGCACATAATTTCAAGGAAAGAGAACAATTTCTTTTCTTCCAAGTTGAATCCTACAACATGCTGGTTTTCAATCAAACATTATTCTGTCTGTTGTTATTTTCTCTCTTCCCGTCACCTCTCTGCTTCACAGGACACTTGATACTGAAAGGAGAAATTACTTATTGGTCACTCTTGGGAGAGAGAGAGCTAACTCAGTCGTGCCCTTAGCTTCTTGAGTGGAACCATCTACTTTTTATAGGGATTCTTTCACCAGAAAAACTGACATTACACTGTAAAGCTGGATTACCACTGTTGCATGATTTCTTGTGTAAGAGAGCATGATTTACAAACTTTTCTCATATTTCCCAACATCCCAAGTAGGTTATTTTGCCAGCAAAACTATAGGAAGTGCTGTCTATTGCTTTTATAAAATAACTTAAATGGGTTCACCTGTGCAATGAAATATAAGTTTTTGACCAATCTTCCTATCTCAGTTATTTTGAAAAAGCTTCTATGCTGAAAATAAAGAGAGTTGCCTGATACACCCAGATTGAGTCAATTCCTCTAAGGCAGTTTATAAATCAACCAACCAGAAGTCAATCTGTGTTGATTCACAAGTTGCCTTGTGATGCCAGAGATCAGTTGATTTGATTCAACTCCAACTGGACAACTCATTTCAGTTGAAGTTGACCTGTCACATTTGGAAGTTGTTTTGCACGACACTTAGAAAATATTCCACAATGTGCTAACAGGGATGGTTGAACATGTTGTCGACTTGACTCACATCAACATGAATGATTCATCTCCTTTTAAGTGAACCCATCATACCAGAAGTTAATTTGCAAGACATTAAGAATATATTCCGCAACCTGCTATGAGGGAGGATTGAAAATGTTGTTGAGTTGACTCCATTCAACTGAAAATCACATGATTTGTCTCATTTGTCATTCTGCAAGTTGCTACATTGAAAATGTTGTCCAATCAACTCAATTCAACTTGACTTTTTTGAAATTGAGAATTGAACAATTCATCTCCTTTAGAACCTGAAGCATACCTGGTGTTTAGTTATCAACACTGTAGCCATTGGCTTCGCACAATTTGGTCTAAATCAATAGAAATCATTAAATCAAAGCTCGACATTGCTAAGCTTGGAAAATAAATATCACAATCTCTGTTTCACCAACAATTTCCTCTTTTTTTCCTCAGACATACTTCTATACAACCGACATAAAACCAAGTTAGTTTAACCCTTAACACCCTAATGTCATTATGCATATTCTCCATACTGTTCTTTATACATTTTCTAAGGTGCTCTTAAGGAGATTTTGTTTACTGTTCTCTTGTTGGTAATCATTTCCTTCATTCTCATGACCTTAATGTGTGATTCAGGGGTGATATTGCAGGTAGAAATTAGATGCAAGTCACTCTTAGGGTTTAAAAGGTTAAAAAGCTCCTTCCTATAAAATAAAGAACTGTTAAAAGACAAAATAAACAAACATGATCAAGTGAAAAAGCCAGCCATGTAGCCTTCATGTCACACTGAGCCTTCACAGTTGTTGTTTTTAAAACAAAAGCTTGAAAATAAGGTAATCAGATGTACGCAGGGGGGGCTTGTGTGAGCAGCTATCAGAATGGGATCGTCAACAGCTCTAGTGTATTCAGTTCTCTGCAAACTTCCCATGCATGTAACAAATGGAAGATGCTAAAAAGAAAAACCAGATATAGTGTTGATAGTGTCCCTATCTTTTCATGTTACACAAGAAAAGTTCATATGCTTTTTACCTAAGACAATTTTACTTTGTTTCCCTAAGACAAGTCAAGTCAACTCATGCAAATCATGTCAATTGGTCAACATTTATTACCCTTCATTTACTACCCTCTAGTGCTTGTAGGGTATAACTTTGTTTTTCTACAACTCAGCATCAACTTAACCAAAAATGCATCGAGTCAACCCAAGCAAATCATGTCAATTTGTTAACATTTACCACCACCATTTAACCCTTAAATGTGTATTGTGTTCTTCTGCAAATTGATTTTGGGTGACATGGATCTACTTATGAACTAAAAACAACTCAACCCCTGCGTATCATGTAGATTTGTCAACATATACTATCCCATTTAACACATGAGTGTTTATCGTGTTCTTCTGCGGATTGACTTCCAATGCAGATTGACTTCACTATAAACAAGTCAAGTCAAACCATACAAATTGTCACTTCCTCAATATTAGTACCCCCATTTAACACTTAAGTTTGTATTGTGTTCTTGAGCAGATTGACATGCGGTGAGATGGATCTTTTCAACAAAAGATGAGTCAGGTTGACCCGAGTGAATTGTCCCAATTCTTCCACATTTATTACCCTCTTACACTCAAGTGTGTATGGGGATCTTCTACAATTGGACTTACAGTGAGACCAATCAACTTAACTGAAGATGAGTTGCGTTTTCTGTGTTCTTCTGCGATTTGACTTACAGTCAGACAGATCGACATAACCAAGGACAAGTCAAGTTGAATTGAGTCAAATTGTGTGCAGGTTCATCAATATTATCTTCTCGTGCAAATTGACTTCTGGCTGTTTCACACTCAAAGAACAAGGAAGGTTCAAGTTGCCACTATCCCACTAGCTTGTGCCCCCCAGCTACCAGCATGTTAACACAATTCAACTTCCGCAGGGTAGATTCATCAACTACCCCTGATGAACCAAGGCAGTGGGGTGTATTGGACATGTATGCAAATAAAAACAAAACAACTTGTGGACCGTTGCATCTGTGGAAAATATTCAACTAGCACTCTAGCTCATTTCCACAGATGAATCCTGTCACTGCATTATTGCTATGTTCTCAAGAAACCTGTACTGATTCACAGCCAAAACAATGCAACCCTAATCATGTATGCAAGAAAGACAAACTCACAACGGAAATCCATGGGGCGAAGCGGCGGAAACTGAAAATTCATGAAATATTCAAACACAATGGAAATTTCAAAGTCCCTCCAGCAGAAATGTTGCCTTAAAATACCTCAAGACTTTATTGTAGCCTCTATTTTGCTATTATAAAACAGACGCATGTTATTGACTTGGAGAGATTACCCTACAAAACACTAATTAGTGATATTAAAGCCCCATTCAAACCGCTACAACTTGTTTTGAATCACGAAGAAAATCAAGAGTTCACCATTTTAAGCTAAGAAACAATACCTTTCGCCATTTCTTGCGCGCGAGGTGTTTCTCGACACGGATGCTTTGAAACTTAATTGTTAGCTTCACTGATCAAAAAGGACAAATTCCTCTCCGAACTCGTCTGAAGAAGTAGAATAAATTATAAATTGGGTTTCAGCTGGGTAAATGAACTGAAAAGCTTAGTTATGCAAATATCTAGACGGCCTGGAGAAAGAAGAAACACCGGAATGAGTAATGTAGTTTCCGCAGCTGAACCTCTAAAAGAATAACTATTGTCCAAAAAAACATTCTTGGTTTGTAAGCACTTCCTAGCCCTAGGCATTAAACCGCTTGTAGTGTGCGATGTAACTTACAGCCAGCGCCTAAATATCTTACGTTAACCAAGGCAGCTTAATTAGCGTAAATCTTTTTATTGATGTCTCTAGGACAGACTTGATTTCGCATGGCGAACGAACTGATGCAACTTTTGTAATTGGTTCGCATAAACATGACTATGGTCTAACTCAGTAATACTCACAAGGAGGATTGATTCACGATATTCCATACGATGAAAGGGCGATACCGAGTAAACGAAATCAACTTTGATAAGATATTAAAAAAACACTCACCTTCGATCGAACACTTAATCGCAATCTTTTGACGTACTCGATCACACTCAGGCCTGTTTTCTCCTTTGCGGTCACGTTTTCAATCAGATTTTCTCTCTGAGTGAGTGAACATCTGAGCAAGACAAAAGTTCTATTCTTGAAAAGCAATTGAAAACGTCTGAAATATAGAAACAGCACGACCTTTTCAGCTCATACGGGAAGTCACGGCTGAAATTGGCTACACACGAACGCTAGCTGTCAATCATTTGTTAAGTGAAAGCCGCGGGCAAGACGCGGGGAGCTTGCTACTTGTCAAAGCTTCTCGAATCTTCTCTAAATGTTTACTCTCAAGATAATCCCTTTGTTTTTCTCAATTAGTAGCCTCATGATACGTCAATTATTTGCGTTGACGTTTTAATGAACAAAAGACCCCTAGTTTTGCACGGGATAGATATTCGATCCGTCGAGGCATGATAATTTATGCAATAACAATAAACAAATATACCCTTTCAAAAACAGGAATTAAAGATTGTAAGAGCATACCCATCTCTTTTTAAAGGAGGGTTAGTATTTATTGTGAAAAAAGAAAAAGAAAGTAGAAGAGTAACCCAAAAAACTCAGGAAGGAATAGAATGTCACATTGGGGGAGAGAAAAACACCACCACCCATCCCCTCATTCCCATTTTCTGCCCTCATGTTTTCTCAACGTAGTCGAATAAGGAAAACCAACAACAGTTTTATATTTTTGCGTGGTTTCCTTTCGTACGCAATATCCGCTGATTTTTTTCCCTTTGCACGCGCGATCCTGCGCGAGATCGCGCGAGTAGTATCGCGATTGGCATGCTTTGCATAACAGCAAACGTCCCAGTCAAGGGTTCAGAAACAAGATGGACGACATATATGCTGATTAAAGTTAAACAAAAACTTAAATTTGCAGCTATGATTTCAACATCAAACTTAAAAATACTTTCTAGACTGACTCTTTCTCAATGGTTTGTGACAAGAAGCCTTCGAACCAGCGCGATCGCTGTTCAAAACACGCAGAAGAAAGAACTTGGCGATCGACAAAGGCTGGTCATCTTGGGAACTGGTTGGGGAAGCTACAGCGTGTTGAAACAAATCGACAAGAAACTATTTGATGTTATTGTGGTCAGTCCTCGTAACCACTTTCTTTTTACACCGCTGTTGTGTAGCACAACCGTAGGAACGTTGGAATTTCGAAGTATTATCGAGCCGGTGAGAAACACTGGCTTTAGAGACGAGCATCACTTTCAACAAGCAGAGGCCGTAGAGTTGCTTCCAGATGAACACACGGTGGTCTGCAAGAGTACTTTGAACGGTGATCGATACGATTTGAAGTACGATAAACTGGTCATTGGCGTAGGAGCTGTTAGCAATACATTTGGTGTTCCGGGCGTTTACGATCATGCCTTCTTTCTCAAGGAAATTTCGGATGCAAGGATGATCAGGAATCAAATTCTCAAAAATTTTGAATTGGCCATGCAGCCCGGCGTCAGCGGAGAAGAGAAAAAGCGCCTGCTACATTTTGTCATAGTTGGGGGTGGCCCCACTGGGGTGGAGTTTGGTGCTGAGTTGTATGACTTTGTGAAACAAGATGTGACAAGGCTGTATGTTCATGAGCGCAGCAATGTGAGAGTGACTCTGATTGAGGCAAGGCAGATCCTGCCATCTTTTGATGAAAAACTCAGAACCTTTGCAGAAAGCAAGATGAGACAGAGAGATCAGTTTGAACTTCTTCAGAGCAGTGTAACTCAAGTATGTGCTGATCACATTCAGTTGAAAGATGGAGAAAAATTGCCTTGTGGTTTGGTGGTGTGGTCAACTGGCCTTGCTCCGAGGCCATTCACTGGTAAGCACAGCAGGCTTTGGAGTCTTTATCAACTGAAGTTAACCCTTTAACTCCCAAGATCTGACTAGTAATTTTCCCCTCTCGTTGCTACACATTTCCTTGTCAATTAGTTATGAGAATTTGGTGTTGGATCAAGATAACAATTTGTACCTGATAAGTTTGAATGTTCTCAAAACCTGTTTGCTAAATAATGTATGGAAATTATAGGGAAAAATTACATGTTCATCACTTCTGGGAGTTAAAGGGTTAAAAGTAATGAAGGATTGCTTTGGTTTTCATGTCACCTTGTTCTTTGATTGGTCTAGAAAACTTTTGTCATCCTCATCAAATGAGATGCACATATTCTTTGGATTTGATCATTCATATAAATTTTGAAGGGTTTAGGCAGCTTTTAAGTACTTGGTTTGAATTCTCATTAAGTTCAAGTTCTATGTAAGAGAAGAATGTGTGTTTATCAAAAATACAGACTTTGTATCAGAGCTGACACCCTCTGATTACTGCAAATGGATTTGCAAGCTAACTTAGCTAAGTAACCCAAAATCAAACTAGAAAGACAGTGATGATCTATTGAAAACTAGATACCCATCACTAGCTAAATTTCGACAATGTTTGCTCATGTCAAACCTTATGAAAAGTGACAAGTGATCAAATAGCTACTTTTTTATTTGTAGTTTCAATTAAATTTTTTTTTCGCATTTATTTTATTTTAGCTTCAGTTAAACTACCCAAGAACAACAACAGTCAGCTGGTAGTTGATAAGTTTCTCAGAGTCCAAGGAATTGATGATGGCTCAATATTTGCAATTGGCGACTGCTCCTTTATTGAGGCCAATCCATACCCCTGCACTGCCCAGGTAGCAGAGAGGGAGGGCAGCTATGTGGCCAAATCCCTGGGGCTCTCAGCTCAAGGGAGGGGCTCAGAGGTGGAGCCCTTCTCCTGGAGGAACATTGGTATGCTGGCTTATCTTGGAGATTATCAAGGACTGGCTGATTTTCCCACAAGCAAGTTGCAAGGCTTTAAATCATGGATTCTTTGGAGATCGGTGTACTTTACCAAACTTGGGAGCTGGAGGTTGAGATTTCAGGTACCTTTTGATTGGATGAGAACTTTCATTTGGGGCAGAGATGTTTCTCAGTTTTGAACAGACCTTAACACTTTCACTCCCAGATCTCAATAGTAATTCTCCTTACTGACTGCCATATAACTGTTAGGATGTTAGTTTGGAGAATTTAGTGCATCCCTTTGTTCTCATCACTTTTCTGTTCGATATAATGATAAGGGATTAATGATAAGGGATTTATATAGCGCTAAAACTATAAACAATATTCAGAAGTACTATTGTACAAATACTGCAAATAGAAATTCTGCCTTGGTCAGTCATGAGAGTTAAAGGGTTAGCATTTTGCCCTAAAAAAGTGTGTAAGCAATGGGATAGGCACAAGACTGGTTAATGTTAAGGATAGCAGTCATGTTTCATGCATATATAGACCAAGGAAGAGGAACTATAACTCAAATTCTGGAATGCTCACAAATACAGCTCTTTTCAAATTCTCTTTCAGCATCACAAATTAATTTCTATTCACATGAACTAACTCAAGGTAAAGGCAAGTGTGGGTAAAACAAGTTTTGTACAGTAAAATATGTAAATATGTTTATATAAATATAAATACAATGCATAATAAGAGAAGCACAATGTATGAACCAGCTCTTCAAATGTATTTTTATCTTTACATAAACTGAATACTTTATCACGAATTCATTTTTATTCTAATTTAATATTTGGTAGTTCAAACATCAATTCATTGGCCAGAGATTGTAATTCACATGAAGGCATCAAGTGAGCATAATAATATGTCTTTATTGCATACATTAAATATGATAATGAAGCAATTGAGTTGACCATAATCTTTTTAGAAGCTTGTGACATCTGTAACATATAGACTAGAATTATCACATTCTATTCTAATTCAATAAACTACTGTTACACAACAGAGATCTAAATCTTACATTTATAGATTCATTCGGTGTCAATAAAGTAGTCAGTTAAGTAATCATTTTAGCATGGTTTGTAATGTTTTCAAACTTCCTGAATTGTTTGGAACAAATAAAGTAGATGTACCTTTTTTAACCTCGTAGAGTGGTTCAGATAGTTATGCTAACTTAATTATCCTTGCTTTCTCTCTCAATTTACTGCGCATTGTATTTGCTTTCCTGGACCTTTCCGGTTTCCCCGAATTTTTCACTTTTGCATAAGCATGCATCACACCCAGGTGTCAATGTGTTAGAGAATATCTCTAACTGACTTCAAGGGGAGCAGGGGCCCCACTTGACTAAATAACAGACACGTACAACCAGGCAGTAGTTTATAAAAATATCCTAACTTAAATATCACGTGATCATTGCTTCCTCTCAGTAAATAAATCAGATGAATTTGATTTTAAATCTGGTTTGTTGACTGTTACCTTAAAATGTTTCTTCCCACAGCTTCGTGCAGTTAGTAAAACGAAGCACAAAAGTACACAGCGCGATTGTAGCAGAGGAGTGAAGAACGAGGGAGGTTTGGGTCGGGTCGCGTAATTTGCGCGACCCGTCGCAAACCTCTCTCGCTTTTTACTCCGCCTCTACAAAACATCGCGCCCTTTACTACTTTGCTACGCTTTACTAGCTGGACGCCCGGAACAGGCCACCCTCAGTTCAGATATTATAGCAAACTTTAATGATTGAATACAGATGTACTCTTACTTGGAACGGTTTGTCAAATGAGGCTGAGCAAACAATTAGTTTAGGCAATTTTTTTATGCAATAGTACATCGGATACGATTTATTATGAGACATTTTACTGTTCATTTCTTAAATTAATTAACTCTTACAGTAATAATAATTATAGTGCTGTTATATTTTCCAGCAGTCGTAGTGAACGGCTACTTGGGAGAGCACTTGTTAGTGATAATGGAAACCATGGAGAGATAAAATAATACATTTTTCATGCCGTTTTGCATTTGGGTTCACTTGTATTCTCAAAGGAAGGCAATAAAATCTAGTGTCCCTTCTAGTACAGGTCATAGGAAGCTCCAGCTCTTGTTCAATTATTTTCACAGACTTGACCGTCTAACTCCCGTGAGTGACCAAGACAGAATTTCTCCTTACTATATCAATACAATATCATGCAGACAAGTGATGAGAATAAAGAAAAATACCAATTATGGGATTACTAACTAATCCGATACCAAATTCTCCAAATTAACATAATGAGAATCATTTGGCAAACAGTAAAGAGAATTACTAGTGAGATCTTGGGAGTTAAAGGGTTGATCAGTGGCGATAAAAATAACAGTTTCACAATTTTGAGGTTTCTATATTTCTCACAATGACTGCTAACAAAAAAGGGTCGGAGCTCCTTTAAAATGAGTAAAATCTTGACGACCTGTTGATTACAATTAAAATAGTATTTCAATGACCTTGTCATGTTTGTGTTCCATCTTACAATTCCGACAATACGGCCCAGCACCAAACAGTCCTACAGCACTGTTAACTACACCGCACGATGGGAATCAACTGCTAAATCGTCTACTGTTGGTCTGCTGCTCGATAACACTGGAGGGTCACAAGCAAAGGATTGATCTACTCAAAAGAGAGAATTGCTCCAAGAGCAAAACACCTGAGGTAATCTGTAAGGATCGTTTTCAGAATCGGTTTACAAACAGCACACCTAAGCCATCTTTTTCCAGATTACTTAGAAAGAGAAACGATAAACAACCAGGGCATCACACAAAATTACAAGAAACCTGATGACATGAAGAGATCTTGATCCACATTCAATTTTTCCCCTTTTGTCAGCTTAAAATAGTTAAGTGACTTGACTGGACCCTAACGTCAGGACGGGACAAACGGATGACGCTGGAAATGTCACCTATCTAAGAATAGGCAATCACCTAGGAAAGAATTTAGAAGTCATAAAGTCATGTTTTTGAATGAAGAAGCCTTAAAGTATTCAGCGTTTTCTAATAATATTTGCAAGACCATCTTTCTCAGTTTTATACATTGTGGTCAGAGATAATCAGTTATGTGAAAACTTTTATCTAAACGCTCGTAAGTGGCGATACAAGCAAATGTTGACATCAGGGGGACGTACAGAGGTCATCCGCTCGGGTGGTGCATAAATTTAATCACTTACAGCCCCGCCCTCTGCTGCAAATGTCAAATGATGTCATGAGTTGCTGTCTTCCGATCGGCTAAACTAAGACAAATGATCGCAATGTCGGCAGTATAATTTCGTTTAGCTTTGGAGAAATTCTGTCGGAAATGAATTTGACTTGCTCCATGTTAGCCCTATGGCCAATTGTTGTCCTCTGGTCATTTAGAGCCTCAGTTGGGCAAATTAAAAGAGACACCGACAATTGGAGTTCTGCCCCTCAAGCTGGGTACGATCCAAGCACAAGGTTTCACCAGAGATCACCAGTCTACAACCTTAAACATGAAGTGAAGACCTCAAGCAGAGCGATACCACTCCAAAGCGGACTTGGAAGCAAATGGACTGTTCTTCAAAACTGGAGCCCTCCTAGAACAATAACGTTATCTACGTCCAGTTCTAGAATGAAAATACCTGCATTGGCATCACGATTTGAGAAAGGAGCTAACAGTAGACCTCATGTTCCAAAAGTATGGAGTTCACCGAGACCGAATCTTTATCAAAGAAGATTCTATAGCCCCAGACGTAAATCTAAGATCACAGCCGCTGTTTTGGGACCAGCAAAGACAGATGGATACAGGCACAATATCTATCAATATTGGAACCATCCAAGCCTAGGCCCTCACCAAAGACCTGACCAAACTCCGAAGCGAGAAGTGCAGAAGACGAAATTTCCATTCCAACTCCAGTATGATGTTAGAGAGTATGGTGATGTTAGCCGAAATCCCAACCAGAAACTGGCCTATGATGCAGCTGACTATCCACCAATCTGGAACCGTCAAACAGCTACTCCTGTCGATAAGCAGTTTCGTGTTGCCAGAGATAGCATCAGAAAGACAAGTTCGCCATTTGTTGGCCAGAATGGTTTCAGGAAAGGACAAAAACTTCGTAAAGACTGGATCCCTCTTAAACCCGGACTTTTTATTCCACTTTATGGTTCCGCAGCAATGACGAGAAATTTCCCCATGATAATGCACACTCGCATAGGCCTGAATCCATATGAATCGAGTATCTCTCCCAAAGCTCCTAGCTGGTTGTTTAAAATGCAGCGCAATCGAATATCTCACATCAAAAAGATGAGCAGAATTCCAGCTCGTGCGTTAATTTTGTCCTCAGAAAACGGGAGGGCCACTCCAGGCCTCTATATACCAAGCTTAGCAAATAACTACCATCAGCGAGAATTAGCATTACAGCGAGAGTTAGAATCTGAGTCCAGTCAAGATCTGAAAAATGCATATGACAGCAGTGACACTGCACTTCCAAACGTGTTAGGAGAGGTTAATCTTGGTGGAAGTAACTTGATTTCTGAGAGTGCACTGAACCAGCCGGCCTCGTCGAATTCAGGGTACAGGACATCCGGAGCAGAAGAAGAAGGAAGACCAGTACCAAGAACTTCGTATGGAACTACGAGCTACATAAGAAGGAAAAGCAGACTAAATGATCCGAAGCTGATCAGGTTAAGGCACATTCTTCGTTATATGAAGAAGCGGAGTCTTGATGTAACGAAAGCTCACAGAAATGATGACTTAAGTAGCTATACGCTAGGAGAAACACAAATATTGCACGATTCAAATGATGCTCATCTTTTTGATAAACGTAACGTCAATGACGAGATAGAGAAGAGATTTTCCGTGCGTAAAGCGAAGGGAAGACGGAACTGGGGCGCTCTCAATGAATTTGCATCTAACGTTACGCGGGCATCTATAATTTTATTAAAGCAAAGAAAGCAGAACATGCGCAAAAGGGCACTTCAGCAGCCAGATGATCTTTTTCGAAACTCGACTGCAAAAATCGCGAAGGGGAGGTCACCTGGGACTGCAACAGTTGAAGGTGTACAAGCGGTTTTGAAAAAGGACAAGAAAAGGGAGAAGTCACCTTCGTTATCACCAGAAAACGTTTCGTCAAATATGCATCATGCGCTTCATCCTAGCAAACGAAAGAAAAATAAACAAAAACATGCTAGGAATTTCATAAATTTAAACGGCGGTGGAATATACTTTAATACAAGAAACGCGTACCTAAATCGCCACTTAGCACCTTTTCATGACAATGGTGCGACAGAAAGATACGAGCCATTCTTCAATACTAGAGGGCCCTTTGAAGCCCACCAAATGGCCATGGCGAGACGTATGCGTGCAATGCGGTCACGTGGGTTGTTTCATTCCTTAGGCAATATCAACCCACGGTTTTTTTCTTACAGTCCATTTCGGTTTCCATTGATGCCTATGCCTCAGCAGTTTATGGCGATGCAACGATTTGGATTACCAGTACGAAACTTTCCATCTGAGTACAGGACGCTACCTTTTCCGTCGACCCAGAATCATTTTGGCATTCCTTGGTACATGAGAGTGCAAAACAGGCTGACAGAGACACAAGGAGGGGAGACTGAGGAGGTCGAAAAAGCAACTCCACATGACTCCCACGACCAAACTGTAATACCGCAAACCAGTGAAGGTTTCAAGACTTCAATCTCCTCGCAAGTAGGCAAAGGCAACTACGCTGAAAGCTTTCAAAGCCCTACGACAGAACTTTCCTCCCAGATCCTTAAAATAGAGAACAATAGGGCATTTGAAGGGCAGCCTATACTTAACGCAGAAGGCGTCGATACTAGTAATCCAGGCCTAGACGGAAAGGCGACGAATGTGCAGTTGACGGGAATCCAAGTGACAGATCAATCAGCCACCATGCTCAACAAGTGGTACCCTCTGCGCAAAGGCAAAGTTTCACTTATGTCTGATCCTCGAAAGTATACCTCTCAATGGCCATCTCGTCTCCCAGGATTAGATTTGGTTGCTACTTCTGACAACCTTCGGTCAAGAGATGACTTTCCAGCCAAATATACGCCTGGAATTTTCAATGCTTTTTACCCTAAAAATTATCAGAATTATCGTTCTCCTCCTTATAAAGATGATGTCTTAGAAGAGGGTAACATGGGAGTGGAAGAGTATAGCCGGGGTACTGAGACACCGCCGACTGTACCATCTGTGAATCAAGGCTTTAAGTTTCACGGCATATTGGGTCAGGAATATATTCCAAGTCCTGTTCCATACCATACATCCCCATTCAAGAATCACTTTTGTTGCGGCAAACGAACATCAAGGCTCGATGAAATACCAAGAAAATCGTGACCGGAGAAAAATGCCAACCAAATCCAGGGGATATATTACAGGGACATAACTTTAATCAATCTCGTAAACTGTAAACGAATTAAAAAAGGGACATATAATAGATTGTATTCAATTAAACACGTGGCGACTTAACAGCGTAAATGAATCTAACATAATAAAAGAACTAACAAATGAACCAAATGCTACGGCAAACACAAAATATATATACAAATAAGGACGAAAGAGCTTGCTCGAAAC